AACTCTGCACTTTCTGGACTTGTATGTATATTTCCTTTTCCAGATTAGTGAAGATTTCCATTATTTCTTCAACAGGTTTCCAATCCATTTTTTTCCTGTATTCTCCTTCTGGAACTCTTATGGTGTGAATATTGGTGGCCTTAATGTTGTCCCAGAGATCCCTTAAGCTATCCTCATTTTTTAAAATTCTTTTTTCCTTTTTTTGCTATACTGATTGGGTATTTTTTGACTACATTGTCTTCCATATCACTGATTCAGTCCTCTGCTTTAACCTGATGTTGATTCCCTCCAGTGTATTCTTCTGCAGTTACTGTATTCTTCAATTCTGGTTGGTTCTTGTTTCAGTTTTCCATTTTCCTTTTTATGTTTCTGTATCTATGCTGAAGTTTTCCCTGAGATCATCTGTTCTTCTCTCAAGTTCATTGCAAATTGTTATAACCAGTGTTTTGAACTCTGCATCCGGTAGGTTGCTTATCGTCATTTCATTTAGTTCTTCTGGAGTTTTGCTCTGCTCTTTTATTTGGGACATGTTTGTCTGTCTCCTCATTTGACTGACCTCTGTGTGTATTGCTGTGTGTTAGGTAGAAACGCTATGTCTCCTGGTCTTGACAGAGTGGCCTTACGTAGAAAGTGTCCTCTCGGCACAGTTCTGCAGTCTTTCTGGTCACCTGTGTGGGTTGGGTGTGCCCTCCTGTTGTAGTTGCTGCTACACCACCACCATGTATTGGTGTTGGCCATCTCTGGCTGGCTGACTGTGAGGGCTGGATGTGACTACAGCAGACAAGTTACTAACCCCACAGATCGGACTGTTGCTTTAGCAGAACTGTGGTGCCAGCCAAGGCTGCTCTTTGGGTGTACCTTTTGTGAACTGGTTAGGTGGCACTCTGGTGTGGTCTGACGCCATCTACCAGGTTTGTTGGGGCTGGAACTTTGGGGAGGGATTCTGGTGCAGGCCAAGTGGAGCCACCACTAGGCTCGATGACTCTTGTTAGGAGCTGTAAAGTGACCTGCGGTTCTGGTTGGTTGGTTGATTGTGCTGGGCTTGAAGGTGCTTGGGAGAGTCTATACTGCAAACTGAGGCTTGTGCCTATCTTGTGGCCTTTTAATTGGAACTACAGTGGGGCCTTGACTTACGAGTTTAATTCGTTCCGAGACCGAGCCCGAGCTCATTAAGGAGCTCGTTAACTCAAATTACTCTATCAACTCAATGCAAAAAATCGTCTGAGAGACAGCTGGTGTCTCAAAAAACTCGTTAGTCGTTAGTCGGGACACTCGTGAGTCAAGGCCCCACTGTGCTACATTACAGGCCAAGTCTTGCCTCCACTTATCCCAGGCTTGGGGCCACCTGATGGGAGTTAGAATGTAAGTTACTGGGCTTGGGGCCGCTTGGGAAGAGCTACAATGCACAGCAAGGTCCCAGCTGCTGCTTGTTTGGGGTTTACGGAGCTTTGGGAAAGTCTGCAGCGCAAGCCTAGGACAGCCATCACTTGTGTGAGGTTTGAAGGAAAGTCTGCAGTGCAAGCCAAAGCGGGCTGCTTATGTAGAGGAGCCCTCTGAAGAGGCAAGAGCCTGGCGAGCAAGTTGAGTGGGGTCTTACGGAATGATCAGGACGAGGAAACAATGTTAGTTTATGGAAAGAGTTGGTGCCCACATATGCAGAACTGGTTGGGTGGGAGGAGAGATGAACCGAGGAACAGTGGTGCCAGCCAGGGCTTCCATCCCTGGTGTAAGTTGTCCTGACCCCTGCCACTCCAGCCCTTACTCTGAAGTTAAATTCAGTTCTTCCCGGTATGTTTCTGGAACTGTTCTGAGTTGCAGCCCCTTCACTAGCTTAAAGAGTATGTAAGTTTGTGAGTGAATCTGAGCATGGTCCCTTTAAGAGCAATGCCTAGTGTCTAGCAGCCCTTTGTCTTTGAACACAATCCCAGCTGGTTTGCACAACCAGATATTATAGGGACTCCTCTTCCTGGCACTGGATGTGCTGGTCTTGCGGGTCCAGTGTGGGGCTGAGACTCCTCGCACCTCCACAGCTGACATATCCCTGCCGTTTCATAATTGCCACACTGTGGGTGTGGGACCTGCCCCATCCAAGTATTTGCCCCTCCTACGGTCTTCATGTAGCTGCCTCTATATCGTTAATTATGCCAGTTCTGTTCAGCTACACTTGAATTGGTTCTCAATGGTTGTTCTATAATTTAGTTGTAATTTTGGTGTGATCTTGGGAGGAGACAAGTTCAGAGTTGACCTACTCTGCCAACTTGAGCGTTGGCTGTTTGTTTCCTTTTTTCTGTTTGCTAGTTCATTGGGTGATTTCCACTTCAATGTCTTCCAGCTCACCGACTAATTTTTTTTTTTCATCAACTAATCTGCTCTTGATTCCCTCTAGTGTATTTTTCATTTCAGTTACTGTTCAATTCTCATTGGTTTTATTTTATATCTTCTATCTCTTTGCTGATGTTTTCACTGAGTTAATCTATTATTCTGAGTTTGGTGGGTATCCTTAATCAGTGTTTTTTTTAAGTCTTTATCTAGTAGCTTTTCCCCATTTCATTTACTTCTAATTCTGGTCTTCTGTTTAGAACCTATTTTTTGTCTTATTTTGGTTCTTTCTCTTTGTTTCTATGGGTTTGTGTCTTTCGCGGGGCAGCTGGCACTGGAGCGTGCATGTGCTGTCGGGCAAGCATGTCAAAACTCAAAGGCTAACACAAGCCAAATAAACAAGGTTTAAGTTTATGTGGGCCACAAAAAAACAAAAGCTTCTATTTTCATAGAAATGTGGGTTTATTTCAATAGAGACATAATAGAACATTTTAATAAAAATTAATATTTTTTCTTGAACATTAACTTACCAAACACTGAATAACTGCACAAATTAATAAGCATAACGCAAATAAACCTACTTTCCTTGTCCTCCAAAAGCAAAATATTTCCTGTTGCGCACACCAAACAAGTCAGTCCAAGACTAATGACGTGGAAATCAGCTGCTAGTATTAGTGTAGAGAAATGGTGTGCCTGCACATAAGGCGTGTAAGGGAAATGAGTGCAACACAATTATAGTAATCAGTCATTAGCGAACGTTGTAGTTATTAATAATTATAACAGGATGTTGTAAAAATTAAGTCATGAAATTTTTTTTTAAATATTTCTTTATTGATTTCAGAGAGGAAGGGAGAAGGAGAGAGAGAGAGAGAAACATCAATGATGAGAGAGAATCATTGATCGGCTGCCTCCTGCACACCCCCTACTGGGGATCGAGCCCGCAACCCAGGCATGTGCCCTTGGCTGGAATCGAACCTGGGACCCATCGGTCCGTAGGCTGACGCTCTATCCACTGAGCCAAGCCAGCTAGGGCAAGTCATGAAATTTTTATTAAAATGTTTCTTACATACCTTTATACTGGCTGGGCCAGAAAAATATTCATTGTGCGCCACATGCAGTTTGACATGCTTGCTGTAGAGAGATCAAGGCTCAAACTGCACCAGGGTTGCCTTGGCGAGTTGGTTGGAGTTACCTCTGGGACTCCCCACAGCTCAAGGGGCGTCCCAGAGGCAAGCCACACTAGGGCTGGGAGCTTGAGTTGTAGTGGGTGTTTGCCACAAGGAGGTCCACACCAGGACTGCCTTGGCAGGCTGGTTGGAGCTGTAGCTGGCATGGTCTGTGCAAGTCCCAGGGGCTAGCCATAGAGTGGGAACTACAGCGAGAGCGTGTGTGAGCCACGGGAAGTTACAGGAGCAAACAGTGCTGGGGTCACCTTGTCAGGCCAGCTGGAAGCACGGTAGCTGAGGCAGGCCACTGGGAGACCTGTGGACAAGCCAAGGAGACGTGGATCTGACAGTCTTGGCCCGCCTTGCTAGAGTGCCTGGGTTATGGTCCTACCATATATTTCTTAATCCATACTAATAGGCATCTTGCACACAATAGGTCCAAATTCAATCTCTTGCACTCTCCTTCCTGCCCCACCTCAGTCAATATCAGCTTGACCTTCCACATGTTTAAGGCAAAAATCAGTCATCCTTGACATTTTCCCCCCCATACTCCACATCCAGCACCTACAATCCTATTGGTGCCGCCATCTAACTATAGTATGTACCACATGGCCCCACTTGCACTGCTACTACTGTTTACCTCTCTCACAGTAGCCTCTCAACTGGTGTCTCCACTTCCATTCTTGTCCCTGTAGTCTGTTTTCAGAGTGGCAGCTAGAGGAACCTGGTCAAAACAGTGTCTCTCTCCTGGGAAATAGTGATCTCTCATTTCACCCAGAGTAAAATACTGGGTCTTAAAATGGTCAGGGATTCTGTAAGATCCGGCTCCCCATTTCTTTTCTGGTTTCATTTCCTGCAACACTGCTTGCTTGTTCCTGGCACAGTGGTCTCCTCACCCACTCCTCAGACATACCAGGCACCCTGCCACCTCCTCTGTACTCAATCTCCTCCACATCTGTGTTGGCCTCGCTGCCTGAAATGCTCTGCTCCAGGTAATTCCCATCACTGCCTTGGGTCGTCACCCAGATGTTACTTTCTTGTGACCATCCTATCTAACACTGCATTTCAACTCTGTATTCTCCATCATTCCCTTCCTTCCTCTCCCTCCTTTCCACTTTCCTTCCTCCCTGAGGACATGTTTTCATTAATTTTTAAAGAAAGGGAGAGAAACATTGATCAGTTGCCTCCTGTATGCACCCCGACTGGGGATTGAACCTGTAACCTAGGTATGTGCACCAATAGGGAATCAAACCTGCAGCTTTCTGTTGTATGGGACAATGCTCCAACCAGTTGAGTACCCAGCAGGGTTACTGTTTCATTCCATAGTACCATCTAACATACACTTAACATTCTATTGTCAGTTTACTCCCCCTAGATTGAGGGCAGAGATTTTTGAGTTATATTTATTGCTGTATTTCTAGTGTATGAAATAATGCTTGGTACATAGAAGCTAGTCAGTAAACACTTATAGAATTTTTGTTGTATTATAACAGAAATTTTAATTTTGCTCTTCAGGTTTATCTCTAACAAGTATTTAGTGAAACGGCAGAGCAGAGACTATGATGTGGAGTGGGGCTATGCCTTTGATGTGCATTTGAATGCTTTTTATCCTCTCCTAGTCATTCTGCATTTCATCCAACTGTTTTTCATCAACCGTAAGTAGCAGTTACTTCTCAAAATATTTTTTAAATGTCTTCATAGTGTGCAATGAAAAGAGAGTCATTGTCTGTATCTCTTTGGCAGATGTCATCCTAACAGACACATTTATTGGATATTTGGTCGGAAATACCTTCTGGTTGATTGCTATTGGCTATTACATCTATATAACCTTCCTGGGATACAGTGGTAAGTAACTAATTTTTTTGGTTGACTGAAAACATAACAGAGAGGGGGAAGTTGTAACAGTAATAAAATTAGCTTACTTTTATGGAGCCTTTGTAGGCACTGTCTCAAGAACTTTATATGAATTATGTCATTTAATCTTCATAATTATATAATACTAGAGGCCCGATGCACAGTATTTGTGCAAGGAGCTTAGCCCTCACAGCCACGGTTCGTCCTGAAGGTCGTCCGGAGGACAACCGGTCTTATTAGCATATTATGCTTTTATTATTATAGATAGGTTTACTTAGCCCCATTTTTCAAATGAGGAAACAAAGCACAGAGAGATTAAGTTAACATGTCCATAGTCACACATCTCAAAAGTGGCATAGTTGGTTTGTAACAAATTCTGTCATTTCAAGGAACCATGTTAAAGCATATTGGTTATCTCCACGTTACCTACAGAAACCCAGAACCAGTTTCCTTTTTCTCCAGGCTTTCAGATTTGAGTTACCAATGGTAGGTTAGAGAGGAAAAGGTTGGTCAGATGAATGGGCATATGAACTTGAGTGCCTTGTTTTCCATTTTTATAATCACTACTAGAGGCCCAATGCATGAAATTCGTGGAAGAGTAGGCCTTCGCAGTTGCGGCAGCTGCCTCGATCCCTCCCTCACAGCAAGGTGGCTGCCTCGATCCCGGGGCTGCAGCCCCAGCTTCATTCGGAAGGTTGTTCGGCTGTTCGGTCTAATTAGCATGTTATGCTTTTATTATTATAGATTATTATAGATATGGTCTGTAGATGATTCCAGAAAATCAGGCCCAACTCTGACCTGAGGATATGTTTGCAAGTATTGTTAAATCCTGCTATCAGTTCATTTTTCTTAATATGAGAAAATATTTATGTTAGTTTTCCTTTAAGACATGATCTCCATTAAATAGAGCCAAATACCTCAAATTGTAATACCTTGTTTGAGGTATTGGGAATCCTTTCTCCAGTTCAGGGGAGAGGCCTGTGATATGTCATATTGTGATTGGCATGCTGCAGCACTGTGGCTTCTCTAAGTGGATTTAAAATATATATACATATATATATTTTTCAGAGGGAGAGGGAGAAGGTGAGAGAAACATCAATGATGAGAATCATTGATTGGCTGCCTCCTGAACACCCCACCCTGGAGATTGAGCCCGCAGCTGGGCATGTGCCCTGACCAGGAATAGAACCATGACCTCCTGGTTCATAGGTTGCCGCTCAACCAGAGCCATGCCGGCCAGGCTCGCAGTGGATTTTTTATCACTCTTATGGTAACTCCCTATAGTTTAGGACAGCTTCTTTGAGTATAGGTCAGTTACAATTTTGGGCTTCCTGTATGAGGTATTTAGGTAAGAATGCATGGGGTAGGAAAGGCAAGAAACAAACATGGATTTGGGCACAGATTTGATGTTTGAGTTTCAGCTCTTTGGGACGCTAGTGGAGACCTCACCTTCTACATTGGAAAATAAAATAGCTGGAAATTGTTTTTCCTATTATATTATCTATCTCTGGTACTTAAAGATCAGTGGTTCTCAACCTTCCTAATGCCACAACCCTTTAATACAGTTCCTCATGTTGTGGTGACCCCCAATTTCATTGTTACAAATTGAACATAATTAAAGCATAGTGATTAATCACAGAAACAATATGTAATTATATATGTGTTTTCCAATGGTCTTAGGCGACCCAAAGGGGTCGCGACCCACAGGTTGAGAACCGCTGTTTAAGATGGACTCTTAGAGGTTTCTGAAGCTGTCACGGGTTTAAACTCACCACCAATTTCATTAACATTTGTGATGTTTATCCTGCGTTCTCAATCTGTCTTAGTCCTGGACTTGCTTCTTGCTCAGCCTTTGTGCTAAAAAATAACCTCCCTTCTGGGTTTCTTCCCAGCATGAGGAAGGAGGCAACACAGAACACAGCAAGATTTAGGAAGGTTCTGGCTACATAGCTTCATGTTATTGACTGAATGAAATAAGTGTTCCTCTTTGGCCCGTGTTGTGACGAGCTGTCTTTCAGGATGTTCATTTATTAGTCACATTACCTTATTTAAAAAGTGAATTTGGATTTCTTTCTTTTCCAGCATTGCCATTTTTGAAAAATACAGTAATTCTTCTCTATCCATTTGCTCCTCTCGTTCTGCTGTACGGGCTGTCACTAGCACTAGGATGGAACTTCACCCACACACTGTGTTCTTTCTACAAGTACAGAGTGAAGTGAAAAAAGTGAGACTGTTACCTCTTAACTGTGTCAACAGTATTGGTGAAGTGATTTCTTATGAAACTTGTAAATAAACTCTTATTGTAGATATCCTGAAGGTGTAAAGTTTGTGAATTTGAGGAAATATATGTTAACACTATTGTCATACATTCCTTAAAACTAATTAAATGTACATTTCTATAATAAATATTTTTAAACTAAAGCATGTGTTTTCTAATATTTGCACACAAAATCATATACAAAGTATGAAAGGCATGAGGAAATTAGGCAAAACTTTCAATATGAATCCTTTTTGAAAGAGCTTCTTTTTGAAGAACATAATCATATGCTCCCCTTCCCCCACTGTTACAAGGTACTTACTCAGCCTCCATTTACTACTGGGCTGTATTTTAAACATTTATGTAGGGTAGGGTATATGATCTTAGTCTAACCTTCAGGCCCTAAATATCTTTAAGAGCATTTTCTCTGCTAAAAAACACACTTCTTAGAGTGAGGAGGCCCATGATGGCTGCTCTTAATTTGGGAGCTGAGTAGAGCACATAATGTATGCGTATCTGCCACACCGAGAACCACTGTCTCAACACCAAGGTTTTCTTTCAAGATTTTCTAAAACCCACATAGAGGATCCACTGCTGTTTTCTAATTGAAAATAGTTCAAATATATTATTATATCAGTGTTAAAAACCAATAAAATTTGCTTCATGAAGTCTTACCTATTTTTTTATTAGAGGGAATCTTGAATTCAGCATGGATTTTTAAACATTTTTATTTTCAAATATACATGAACGGTGTGGCACAAACAGGGATGAAAGGCACAGTCAACAGGACCAGTTATTAACTTATAGCAGCAAATTTGAAAATAATCTTCCTTTGAAAATTTAACAGGTACCTAAAATATTACTACAGGTATTACCCATTCAACCAATGACGACCTTGTAAGGAATATGTACAATACATTAAGGAGAAAAAAAAGTGAGTACAACTTGGGAAACGAATTCCTCAGGCAGCTTCTCCGAGGGTACTTCCGGAAACTTCCCCGGATGCGCACACCACCTCTCCCGCAGTGTTCCCAACGAGAAAACACTTTAGTTTGACAGAGCCATATTATATTTTGGCGGGAAATTCACCCCACACCGGAGTGTTAAAAAACACTACTGTCTATACTTAATGAAGAGTATCAAATCTGCTGGCAGTGCATCTTACAGTACTGGCGATATCACCATTTTTAAGGCTCAGAAAATGTATTCAAAAGATGTTTTCATCCCATTTCAGCAAACACTGAGCATTGCAAATAAATCATGAAATGCTACTCACACTTGAGTACCGAACCTGATTCCAGGACAGTTTCCTAGCTGCTAAACCAAGGAAGTGCTAGCAGCAAGGGGCACATGCAATAGCTTCCCTAACATCTGAGGACTCCCCACAGCAAACAGACCTAATTTTAGCACAGACTTTACATTTTTACTGCAACAGTGACAACACTGGAAATAATAGCACAAAGTACAGTCCATTCAACACACTCTGTTTATTGTCTTGAATGGTGTCTCATAAATTCTGAACTCAAATGCACTGGGGAGTGCCAGGTTGTTCCTGCCCCCGTCCCTTTGAAAGTGACTTACTTATTGCCCACACTGGTGAGGGGACCGTTTCCGGTGAGAAGGGCTTATATATAGATATTGATGATACGGACATAGTAACAAATCCTCTTTTTAAAAAAAATATACTGTGGTAATAGTCTTGTCAGTATTGTATATCCACATGCATTAAAGAAAGCATACTAGTTATGGCATATATCTGTTAAGATTAAAATTTACAACAAACTTTTACACTATAATACTGCTACATAGTTTGGAAAAGTTTTCTATAAAAGAAAGATGTGATATATAAGTTCCCTCAAAACACTAAGATATGTTTATGACCCCAATTTCTGACCTCTGACAGTGTTAGCCTCTCATTTTTTTTTCCTTTAGTTTTATTTTACTTACATCAAGGGTAAGTATAGCATTATACTAAAAATAAGCACAACAATTAATGGACAAACCAAAATAAAAAACGTCACTAGCAATTAATAGCTTGGAAGCAGAGATATTTTGGAAAATATTTGCCAAGTACAAAAATTTGGTTGGCACTATAGGATTTGATCTGTGCTTAGACAATAAGTTTTGGTTTAAAAAAAAGTACTCCAATAAAAGTAGATTGATCATACGGTCTCTACATAAAAGCAGAGGATCTTTCCTCCTAATTTAGTATCTTATTTAAAATACCACTGTTCATTCTTAAATAATACACTGACAGGCTCAGAGCAGACTAAATCGGCATAAGGTAATACTTTTTCTAGGAGAAAGATTCCTTATACACTGTTGGATTCTTTCTACTAGCAGTTCCTTTAGAACAGTGGTTCTCAACCTTCGTAATGCCATGACCTTTTAATACAGTTCATGTGGTGACCCCAACCATAAAATTATTTTCGTTGCTACTTCATAACTGTAATTTTGCTAGTTATGAATCGTAATATAAATATCTGATATGCAGGATGTATTTTGGCGACCCCTATGAAAGGGTCGTTTGACCCCCAAAGGGGTCGCGACCCACAGGTTGAGAACCGCTGCTTTAGACGCACTACTAAGATGCTACAAGTTTTTGTCAACAAATTTCCAATGAAGACAGATCTCTGGCATAGAAATCCCAGATGAAGCCCAGGTGTAGGATTTCCTAGTAAGATTTTACTCATGCATTTGCCGAAAATACCACCATACTAGAGGGAATCTGTATGAAGATTTCCCCTCTTCACCTTTTAAATACTGTATTCATCTTTCATTGCTACATAACCCATCACCACAAATTTAGAAACTCATTGCGTATCTCTCAGAAGTTCAGGCAGCTGGACTGATGCTCTGCTCGGTCTCAGGCTGGAATCAAGGTGTCGGGAAGGCAGAGGAGAACCCACCTGCCCACCTGGTCAGGTGTTGGCTGTGTTCGGTGCCTGGGGCCATGCAGGTCCCTTTGCCTGGGCTGTCAGGGGAGGCCTCTCAGCTTAAGGCCATCTGCATTTCTCCTTATGTGGCTTCCACCTTAAACCAGCAAATGCTGCCTCCTCCTGTTTTGAATCTCTAACTTCGGCTATTAGCCTGAGAAAACTGCTTAAAGGGCTCACATGATAAATAATGTGATTAATAATGACACCTGATTATTTAATGGTGCAACCATTGCTCTGAAAAGCCATATCTTTGTTCAAAGACATCGCCAATGGTTGAGTTAATATACATGTACTTGTCTGTAATAGACGTGTCTGTGTGCTAAATAACCCACTGCATTCACTTCTGCCAAAGCTTTTAATCTCACGGCTTCACACCATTGCTCTTTTTGTCTACAGAGTATGGTACAGGGCATGCTGTAAAGAACACTGAGAAGTAGGACAAAGAACACAGAAATCTTGGCTCTTAGAAAGCTAGAAATAGGTCCTCGACCCCTTCTTACCCAAAATAATCATTTGCTCTGTGATACATTCTGCATGTCTACTTTTAACCTAATTAACAAAACTCATCCTGGTTTCTACAATGTTCCTATTAGCGAGCTCAACACAGTGCTGGCAACAGAAGCTTCTGCAGTGAAGGAAATGTTCGGGGCCTGTGCTGCCCACCCCGTGGCCACCTGCCACAGGTGGCTATGGAGCACGTCACTGTAGCTAGAGTAAGGGAGGAGCCGAATGGATGTTGATTTAAAGAACCAACATGGGTCTAGTAGCCACTGTTTGGGACAGCACAGCTCTAGAGTGTGAGTAGTTCAGTGAAATACACACCAGATGCCAAATCCATGCCTTCTTTCTTTATGTCAGTGCTCTCACCATCTGATGCTTCCCCCCCCCCCCCCCCCCTCACTAAAAGTGGTTCAGTGTCCTCTCAAGGTCAATAATTGACTTTGCGTTCCAGGGCTCTTCACCTCTGATTTGTCCCAACCCCTCAGTCATTAACACAACTCTTAGGACTCCCGCTATCACTTCCTGCTTGAGGAAAGCATGGCTGCTTCTGTCTAGTGTAGAGCTCGGGGAAAGGAGAGAGCAACTAAAAATGAGACAGGCCCAGCAGGCACGGCTTAGTGGTTGAGCGTTGACCTATGAACCAGAAGGTCACGGTTCAATTCTGGTCAGGGCAAATGCCTGGGTTGTGGGCTCGATCCCCAGTGTGGAGCATGCAGGAGGCAGCCGATCAATGATTCTCTCTCATCATTAATGTTTCTCTCTCCCTCCCTCTGAAATCAATGAAAACATATTTGAAAACATATTTGAAATAAATGAGACTAGGAGCACCTGCTGCAGCAGAGCACAGGTAAGAAGTACGAGTTTCAGGTTTGCCCTCAGGAGCTTGAATTTGGTCAGAGAAACACATGCACACACATATGCACTCCCCATAAACGATCAAAAACTCCAGAGCTGAGTGTGTACGTAAATGTGTGGCAAGGACAGTAGGTGAAGGGAGTTGAGAAAGAAGGGGCTGAAACAGCTGGTCCCTCATCCAGACACTGCCTGCACCTGCCATGTGCCAGGCACTGCTGTCGGCACTGGTAACCCATTCATGGGGAGGGTGCACCAGAGAGGCCGTGAAAGATGGAAGATTTGTCTGGGAGTATTCTAAGGAGCAGGAGGGGTGAGCTAGTCCTGGAGGAAAGTGAGCAGGAAAAGGCTCCGTGTGAAGGCTGACGCCCCCCGAGTAGCAGGGGCGACAATAACTCCCCTCGGGGTCTTCAGAGGCTTTTTCCCTGCAACCAGAGTTGGCTTCTTAGGCAGCAGGGAACGAGGGGCTTCTAAACTTACCTCTAGATTGTCACCTCCTGATAATGTTATAGCAGTAATTATGTAAAGCTAGTGCCAAATTTTATCATGAAACGGTATTTTCAAATGAAATCTGCCTATAGAAAATCAATAGTAAAATTTTTTAAATGAAAAAGTAAAAGTCACAAAAAAAATTTAACTGTAGTTTGACATAAAAATCATGGGCAACATGACTTTTTAATAGAGAAAAGTAACTAAACATTATTCCAATACGGAGCAATGGAAACTACTCTACCAGTGCTTCCCAGCCTTCGCCACTTCAGAACTGCGCAGCTCACTGGGGGACCAGGCGCGCTCCTGCAGGCTCTGGGCAGTGCCCGCCGCCCAAGCCCGCAATGACTCCTCTGAAAGCTCAGGATCCATCCCCAAAGGCTGCCACCTACTGGCTGGGAACTGATGTTGATAATTCAGAAAATGTTAAAAGTAAAATACCTTTGTAAAGATCACTGATTGCTAAGGCTGGTAATATTTTTGTTATAGTGTTTCAGAATTTGCAACTGCATGTTTAAGAATAATACGCTTTGGATATGAATTTACTTATAAGTTCTAATACAATAGGAAACATCATTTTGGAAAAACATACAACTGCTACAATACCTTTCATCAAAAACCAGTATCACAATTTTGTTTTTCTTTAATATTAAACCAGTTATGACACACAATAGCATTATATAGAAAACATTTTGTCAAAACTCATGAGTGCAGATATATAAGGATCAACAAGAAAAGAGATAATGCATCTAATTCACAGAATAAAGACAAAATCAAAAAGAGTTCATCATCTTACACATCAGAGGAAATGTAATGAGCTAAATCCATGATAATTTGGGTTGAAGGCATCATCCCTGTACATTAAAATTATCAGACTGATTTTTTTTGTGGCTATACACCATACACAATATAGTAAAATAAGCCTCAAAAAGGACATTGGTTTAAAAATCTTGGCTTTAAGGAATGACAAACTTTGAAAATATTTTGCTCAAGATCAGCAATTACAGTAGTCCCCTCCTTATCCATAGGGGATATGTTCCAAGACCCCCAGTGGATGTCTGAAACCACGGCTAGTACCAAACCCTATATATACTATGTTTTTTCCTGTACATACGTACCTATGATAAAATTTATAAATCAGGCACAGGAGGAGGTTCAAAATAACTAATAAAAGAACAATTATAACAATATACTGTAAGGAAAGTTATGTGAATGTGGTCCAACTCAGTATCTTATTGTACTGTACTCACCCTCCTTCTTGTGAGGCAAGATGATACAATGCCTGCGTGGCGACATGAAGTGAGGTGCAGAAACTGGACAGAGGGTAATTCACGTCCCAGGTGGGCCGGAGAGGGCCGGCGTGAGATTTCATCACACCACTCAGAACGGCGCACATTTAACACTTATGAATTGTTTATTTCTGGAACTTTTCATTTAATATTTTTGGACCACAGTTGACTAAGGGTAACTGAAACCATGGAAAGCCAAACTGCAGGTAAGGTGGGGCGGGGTGGCTACTGTCAAAAAGTACTTCTGTTAGGAAATCAATCTAGAATCACTCAGAAATGGCAGTGCATTTGAAAAATGGCATTAACTTATGTTTGCTTTTCCAAAGGAAAATACAGAAAACTTAAAAAAGCAAGGTAATTGGTTTTCAAAAAAAGTATCGATTCAAAAATTTACTGCACAAAAATATGTACTTCTTAAGTGTTTCTAATAAATTAACTCCATAACATTTTATGTATATTTATATATTTATATATAATCCCTGATAATCTATAAAAGAGGGTCTATAATAGTAAAATAAATGAATCTCAAAAGTACCCCCTTCATAAAATTTAACATTTTTTCTCAAATTTAAGGAATGTAACAATATGTACAACTCTTATGTATTAGTATAATACCTAAGTAGTACAAGTCATATTAACAGGCTGTCGTAGCTGTAAAATGTTTGAGTCAAGTTAAAACTGGAGGACAGCTTAGGTTTGAATGAATATATTATCGGTGGGAGAGTCACTTGCCGAGTGGAAATGACAACCATCTACAGTAGATTCACAAGAGGTAGTGTTCAAGTAAAAAAAAAAAAGTACATGGTTCACTATCTTTAATCAACAAACGTACAGAAAAAAATGTATTGGTCTCTTAGGAGATGATCAGTTGGTGACTTTTTTAATATGAATCTGAAATACAAAATTGTGAAGAGTACAATGAGGCAATTAATTTTCATTTCCAAAAAGGTCTTAAATATGAAATCAAAATGTTAAAAAAAAATGTAGGCTAAGCTATTTCACTGATGTACTGTCTTACCTCATTGAGAATGGCCCAAACAGCAGAATTCTGAATAACTGAAAGTCGAAAGGCTGCAATGGGGTTTAGGCTGGGATCCACCATTCCTTCTGCAACACCGTTCTCAAATTTCCCTTCAAAATAAAAATCAACACTTGTTGGGTAGGCTGGAACAGGCACTCGTCAAATTTCACTGATGTGAAGCAGGAAAGAAAACACCACAAGATTTCTAGTGGAAGTCTTCACACAGGGCACGGGTGCATTTTTTCCTTCTTCCTATTTTTATTCAACTTAAAAATTTTTCATGACGTAGAAGCAATCCATCTGAAGAGGCAGAGCTATATGTTTTCTTATTGTAAATTAAAAACAAAACAAAAATATATTTTGGCATCAGCAGTGTTTTAACACACAGGTTTTTAGCAAAATGTGACTTACTCAAACCTCACCAAAACAGACTACCATCCCTCGGTCCAACCACTTTGAGAGTTAAGGCAGTAACAACCAATTTCAATGCTTCAAATGGACATACGTACAATGGCTGGCCTTGAGCAGGGGCTCAATCTATGTGTATTCTTCCCAAGGTCACCTCTAAAAGGAATTAAGAAGTGATACCTTCTCCAGAAATTACAATATGAAACGATTATAGATGATAAGCTGGAAAAGCTCTCCCACAAGGATAAGGACCAAGAAATTCTATGAAAAGTTATTTGTACTCCATTTTTCTTGCCGTGAGGAATAATATTCTTTTTAAAACAAAGCCAAAAAATGCTATTGAAAAGTGGCAGGAAATGGTTTGTTCTGAGCCACATTTCTCTAAGCCAGGGATTGGCAAACTTTTTCTATAAAGGCGGGCAGTCAATATTTTGGCCAAGAGGGAAACAGGATACCATGTAGGTACATATATAGAAAGAAAACAAATATCCACAAAATGTTTATTGATGAAATTCAAGATGTAACAACAACGGAGTGCAATTTTCTTTTCTAATACAGGTGTACCAAGGAGAATATAATTCGTCTTTGGGTGATAACATTTCAATTAACTAGAATTCAAAGTCAGTAATCCTTATCATTAAAAATCAATTGCAAGGGGTCATATGTTAATATGGATCAGTAAAATTTTATATACTTCATCCTGAATATTTCCTTTCACAACAGCCAAATACTGACATTAATCCACAAGCACATGATTTTAATGGAGCACATACCACTTGGAAAGGATGTATGAAATTCTACTACATTCTTCTTTTATATTTGCCTTGTATCATTACTTTCAATGAAAGTGACGTATGGAAGCTCCTCAAGTAGCTTGCTATTACCTGTGCTTCAAATAACGTTGTCATCAGTGACTTGACTACAATATAAGTTTTGCATATAAGCACTGGTTTGTCTTGTAGTTTAAGGCTGGATTCATTAAGAAATATCAAACCTGCAGCAAAAATTAACTTTCAAAGAGATAATAGTGGTGGAGGCAGTTCTCTCATGGAAAAGTCTTGATCCTGAGCTCACGATTATAGATATAATCCCGGCCACGCCCCTAGAACTGCTGTGTGGTGAGCACGGGATGCTCAGTTCGTTTCTGACAAAAATGCATGGAGCTGATGATGGCGAAGTCCCTGAGAGTGAATAAGTGTGATTAAGTGTGACTTAAATAACCCACGGTTGGTACATGTGTTTTACTTGCTTGCCTAACACGTGAGCCACTTGGAAATTCACTTTGGATACAGCCTCATTTGAATGTTTTATTTTGGGGAAGAAATTCTGCTGTGATGAAATATTCCATTTTACTTTCTAATTTTCTGGCCATTGCTTTCCCGTGAGCTGGGGATATTGTCGTGAGGGCTTGGTATGGAGACGTATCCTTCAGCACAGCTCCTGCGTCACTACGTAATAACCACACGGCCACCCAACTTGGTGAAATAACCCACATCCCACTGCGCTAAAAAGCACTCAGAGCGTCTTTTGTGCTGACGTGGTGGGTAAGCACTGGAGTTATTTCCTAAGGTCACATCACAGTGGTGTGTGTGGCACTCGCAACACTGTCACGTTAGAAACCATCATCGCCACTGCAGGGCGCCAGGCAGCAACGACGAGGGCAGCCTGGGCCCTGCGCAGCTGCTCCCTCCTCCTGCTGTTCAGCCTGACAGCACAGACCACACAAGAGCAAGTACAATGAGCGCGGCTGTTCCAACACGACCTCATTTATGGGCTGGCATTTGAACTTCTCTAAGTTTTACAAAATGATATTCTTTTTGTTTTTTTAACCATTTAAAAATGAAAATAAACAAAAAAGAATTTTAAAAACATTCTTAGCTCGCGGTCCATTCAAATACAGGCCAGAGGGCCTGATCTGACCCCTGGGCTGTGGTGAGCTGAACCCTGTGGTGTTACATTTTGCATCTGCTTTAGAGTCTTACAATCGGCTCCTAGTAAGACAAGATATGATCAAACTGAAAATCATACCAGACAAGGCTTGTATTCACTTGTATGAGAAATATTAAGCTTGTATACTTCCAGATTAATGGTTTTATTAAAAATTAATACCTTTATTTTATAAAAGTATGTCCATACTGGGGGCTGGACTGGGGTAGGGCATACAAGGAAGTATTACTGACTAGTAAGTCAGGCAGAATTCAGGGCTGAAAAATACTGTGAAACTTAAAACATTTTAACTAATGTGCTATCTGATACTGTCACCTGATGAGCTCATTTAAGTAGGAAAATAATTACCAAGTGATATAACTGGCCTCATTAAAACACTTTCGCCCAGCAATTTTATTCTGCAGGTATGTTCTCACATGTGCAAACACTGCAAACAATCTAGGCCAGCAGCACTAGACTGGCTAAGTAAATTATGATATGCTAATATGAAGGAATACTAGGGAGCCAATTAAAAGAATGAAGATAAAGCAGGTGAAGACTGACTGCCATCCCTAAGTATGTATCGTAGAGAAACTCTCATACATGTGCATAAGTGCTCAGATCAGCATTGTTTATAATGGCAAAAAGATAGAAACAAACTTTATGCTAAACAGGAGACTCTATACAGCAGTGGAAATGAATGAGCCATAGATGCACACATCCACATGGGTAACTCACCTGGTGAGAGAAAACAGTTATAGACTACAGAATGATGCAACCTCCATCAAATTTAAAAACAATAAAAGCACTGCACTGTTTGGAAGTACATTATACATATGCAATAAAGTGCACATGGAAATGGTAGCCACAGCATTCAGTACAGCAGCTGTCCGAGGGTAGAGGGGAAGAACAACTGAACTGGAAAAACCTTAGGCTGGATACACAGATATTCATTATACTATATTTGCATCTTTTTGTACATCTGAAATACTTAAAATGTTCATCTTCCATATGCATATATATTTTGTCCAGTGAAAAAACAAGATGCAGCATAAGGTTGTACAGTATGTCAGTATTTGTGCGTGACTGTTTTTAAAGAATATGCTCACATATTTTAATTTATGAATAGGACAAATCATTATAGGAATTGCCTCTGGGAAACACTGGGTAGGTGGGGCCGGAAGAGAGAATGAGACTTAAGTTTACCCCTTTAAATTTGTAATTGTACCATGTGCATGTATTATTTTAACCCAATGGTCCAGTAGGTAAGTGTTAAAAGACTGGAAAGAAAGAGGAAATTACTGAAGAGCGACTAGAATCCTAAAATCCTGGCACTGCGGGACCTCCTGCCACCCTGACACGGTCCAGTCCTCCCCTGCCTCTGTGAAGGCTCTCTGCCTCCTCCACCTTACTGATCAGTCCAGCATTTCTTTCCGACTGTCCTTCGCTGTCAGGCCACCTTCACCACCAGTTCTCTGTTTCTGACTTGCCTTCGGGCATAAACTGCTGCACTGTCGGATCCAATAAAATGCGTCCCCTTTGTGGGCCAGTCTTTGTGGCTTCATCCACCCACGGCTCTTACCAGCCAGCTCTTTCCCTGGTTCTGTCAACCTCTGGACAGGCTACAGTTGAGCCGGAAAGTAGCTACCGTCTCCCCTGGACTGCTTTCCACCAAATGCCAGTCGCCTCCCACCATGCCCACCCCGGAGCTTCACCAAGCTCTGCTTCACACCAGTCAGTGCCCTTGGGAGAGCTGCAGAGCTGTTCTCCTGGCCTGCCTCCCCGGAGAAAGCCCGACCCACTGCACAGGAACCTGTGGAGGCCAGCAGCCTCCTGCCCTGGAGGGACAGCTGCTCTTCGAGGGGCACAGGGCGTGGAGCAGGGCCCTTCATTTTCTTGGCTTCCCTCTCAGGGTGCTGGGGCGAGTGAGCTGGGGTGGGGGCAAATCTCGCCCTGCGGTGCCTGGGACGGGCTTCTGCCCTACGAGTGAGGGCTGGTGACGGACAGAAGCTGGCGCCTGCCCTTCCTGTGAGATGCCCGCCCCGGGGGGGGGGGGGGGCGCGCTGGGGTCAGGAGGCCAGTGCTCCCGGCTGCACCGCAGGGAGCAGAGCTGCCCGCTCTCTGACTGGGGCAGTGTGGGTAACCGAGGGGGTGAGGACTCCGAATGTTCTTACCGAGATTCAGGTTTTCATGAGTAAATGTTTCTCCGTTTGCTGTATTTTTTTAAAAGTAATTTTCACCAGTTGTGGTGGTTCTACAAGGGAGAAGGGGGCGACGGCCTTCACACGCCACCCACTACAGCAGACTCCCAAGGAGCAGAGCCTTCGTGCTCAGCTGGAGGCAGTCACGGCTCCGTGTTTCGGACGCTGCTTTGTGACACGTACCCTCGGTTTGATGATTCCTAAATTCTCTTCTGCTTCTACATACGGATGTGTTGATGTTTGAGATGCTTTTATTTTCAAATGACGGCAGAGACACTTAATACAGATGCATCTATTTCCTCTGCCACTTTCATAATCTAGATCACAACATTCTCAAGATTAAACAGCTGGCAGGTAAGAGGGTTAATAAATGTCGTGTAGACTCTGTAATTTTACATGTTTTTCTAGAGGTGCACTAAGATATAACCCACATATGAAAATAAACTCACCTGTACACCCAAACTGCACAGAAATTCATCGGAATTAGCGCACAAGCCTTGTAGCAAAAACTGAGTGAAACTCACCAAATGTAAAACCGCTCCGGAGAGAGGAGCCACCAGACCTGTCGTCACAAGCATCTGGGTGCCGGTGCCTCACCGTGGGAGACACCCTGAAGGCCACCGCCCTTACCGTCCTGTGTGCCCACAACACCAAGTCGCCAGCACTCCCTTTGCCCACCACGAAGACAAGCATTCATTTAAGTAAAAGAACATACACAGCCATCGCTGAGGGGACACCTACCAGGTGACAGGCGCCATGTGAGAGACAGCGCCCTCCCTCCCCCTGGCGAGCACACGCCTGGGCGCTGACACAGCACGGGACCGGCGTGGTGAGAAGAGGGGCAGCTAAACTGGCTAATGAACGATGAGAAAGCATTCACTAGAAGGAGAAATATCAACTGACCATTTCAGGAGGAAATACGGCCAGAAATTAAGCCAAAGGACATCTATGCAGAGCCAGCGGACATAGACAACAGTGTGGTGAAGCCCAGAGGCGGGTGGGGGTGGGGGCCGGTGGGGGTGGGGAAGTGGGGAGCATGGGACATGAGAGGAGTAAGTCCTGGGACTGGAGCCATAAAGAATAAAGGGCAGGAACAAGCTGTGAAGGTAGGTGGGAACGAAGGAATCTGCCCATGGGAAGGAAGTCATTCCGTGTTACCCAGGTTAACATATTACAGTATCGACATTTAAAAACGTAACCGCAGTGGCTCTGTGCAAAGCCAGAAGGACACAGGCTCCGCCGCAGAGGCCCAGAACCCAGAGCAGGTCCCAGGGGGACACATTTAACTAACGGGCAGGAAAGGGCGGTGGTATTCAGGGTGTCTCCCAGGTTGGGCTCAGGCAACCGCGGGAATTGTGACAACAGAAAGCATGGTGACCAACCAAGTCCGCATCACAGATGCGCAGAGTAGGTGGCTATGTGAGTGGGTGTCGATACAGATCTAAGCCCAAGATGGGGTCCGGGCGAAAGACACGGGTTTTGGCACATGGGTGTTGCCGAGACCAGGAGAGGAGACGAGCTCATGCAGCGAGCCTGTACAAGGCCGAGTATCCACCAGAGAACGCCAACAATGAAACAGCAGGCGGAGGGACCAGTAAAGGAACCTTTGATCTCAAATCCGAGTTGGGTCAAGATAATAAAACGCAAGAACAAATAAAACTTGGAGTGGATTGGTAACTGTAATCCTAAAGCTGTTGAACATTTGAAAGCATTTAAAATTACTTTAGGAGCTCTGGCCGGGTGGCTCAGTTAGTTGGAGCATCATCTGTACATCAAAGGGTTGCAGGTTTGATTCCCAGTCAGGGCACATACCTAGGCTGTGGGTTCAATCCCCTGTCAAGTCATGTACAGGAGGCAATCGATCAATATTTCTCTCTCACATCCATGTTTCCCTCCCTCCCTTCCTCTCTCTAAAAAAAAATCAATAAACATATCCTCAGGTGAGGATTTTTAAAAATTTACTTTAGGAGTAAGTTCAAAATAAAGAACAATTTTTTACAAGTTTAAAGTAGATATTACCTATTCTGAAATAACCATCTTCTAACCGTTTGTCTTTGGTTTCTTTGCTTATTTCCAAACCTTCACTCTAAAATAGAACAAAAACATTATTTTATGAATAATTTCTTCTATTTAAAAAAAAGCTAAGTTATTACTATATCTTAACAAATGTAACAGCAGCATTTGTGGCACAGCTTTCTCTAAAAACACAAAGTGTCATTTCAGTCTTAAACCTTAAAAGGTTTATGAATACAAGAGTTCTTTTTCTAACCATCATCCTGAATCTGTATATAATAAACTAGTGATTAGGAAACTTAAATTTCAAATAATTTTAAATTCAAATCAATTTAATAGAACACTATTTTCTATTAAAAATATGCACAAGAACTGTGTGTTAACCTGAAAGAAATTGAAGCATTTCTTAGAGACCAGTACGTTAACTTTCTGTAGTCATCAACAAACATTAAAACCACATGGTATTTGGGGACTCGATACAAACAGCAGGTAAATATTAAAGTAAAAGAATGGTTTGTTTATTTTCCTGTACAGACTTCCAAGTACTTTCCAATGGGAAACAAAATAAAGGGTCATTCTATAAATAAGGCAAATGGGACAAGATACTAGGTGTTCTATATTTTTTAAAAAATTAGTATTACTCACCATTGAGGTTCTGCACTAATGAGAACTTTAATCTCATAAACAAGAACAGCCTCAAACCAAGTCTATTGGTGTTAGTTCTTAAGGAAAATTAAGGGGAAAAAATAGTCCTACCTTAAAAGGCAAAACTTCCACAGAAGTGTTTAGCAGAATATCTCCTGGATGTTCTTGGTTGCCACTATGGAACAAATAACTGGAAATACAAAAATAAAAGTACAAATGCAAGTCAGACAAGGCTTCACAGAGACTCAGGAAGGCAGCCTTCCTTCAGAGGAAGCATTCTGCACGAGCTGGCACATCAGAACTTGTGGTAACTACACATTATGTTCTGAGTAGTTGTAGGGAACTTAGAAATTGGAGTGCAGCCTTAGGTGGTGTGTTAATTCCTTCTGTCATAAGGCACATGTTTGCTGCTTACTGTACTTCACAGATTAAAAAGTGACAACAGTTTTATATAGCTGTTTATACTGCTTTAAATATATAAACCTCTGGACAGAATAATCAAAGTCACATTATAATACTGTGTCTTTTATCAGAAAATGTTCACTAGGACAGCCACAAGTTGTGCCAAGTTCAAAGACTAGTTTCTTGGGGGTTTTTTTAGAAAGAGAGAGGAAGGGAGAGAGAGAGGAACACTGATTTGTTGTTCCACCTACTTATGTATTCACTGTGGATCCCTGTGTGTGCCCTGACGGGAATGGAACCTGTAACGTTGGCACACTGGGACGACACTCTAACCTCTGAGCTACCCAGCCGGGACTCAAAGACTAGTTTTATCCAATACAAATTATTTCAGTATTAGTAGAGTAAAAATAAGGTAGCCAATTCCAAGTAACTGAGTAATTCCATTTGTCAGTGTTAACAAATATTTGAATAATGACTAATCACATGACATACGACAGTAAGTCAAACACTCTCTGGGTCTGAGTGTCATGTTCTTATGTCTGATGCTCTGAAAACTAGTGTGTGGGGGTAGGTATGTGGAGGAGGTGGAAACCACACGGGGCAAACAAAGCATATCTCATCTAAACCTAAAGCGTAAGTTTAAGTGAAGTGGTTACAAACTTCAGCTGAATCGTCAAAACACCTGCATCCAAGTCCTGGTGTCTCATTTACTAGAATTTTCACCTTAGCAAGTTGCATTAGCTTTCTGCGTCTGAGTTGTTTTTTTGTTTGTTTGGTTTTGTTCCTGTTAATCCTCACCCAAGGATATTTTTTCCCCACTGATTTTTAGAGAGAGTGGATGGAAATGGGGAGACAGAGAGAGAAACATCGATGTGAGAGAGACAAATCGACTGGTTGCCTCCTGCATGCACCCCAACCAGAGCTGGGGGATCGAGCCTGCAACCGAGGTCTGTGCTCTTGACAGGAATCGAGCCTGAGTTTTATCTATACGTACAGTGCAGATATTCCCACCCACACGTGACGGTACCAAGAAGTTTACGAGAACTGACAAAAAGTATTTTACATATTGAATATTCAGCAAATAATAGTTACAATGTGGTCCTGACATAGTTACAGTATGATATTGTGGGCAGAGATCACCTACGATAAGGTATTGATTTTCAAATGTTACACGGGTCAGGGACCCTAATAAGAAGCTCCTTCTAAGCTACACCAAAAATCACTTCCAGCATTTTTGCCGAGACACTTCTTTTTAAGACATCTTTGCTGTGGGATATTGTTTCCCACAGAGGCCCAGCGCACGAAATTCATGCGTGGGTACGGTCCCTAGGCCTGGCCTGTGATCAGGGCCATCTTCCCCAGCTGCCCACAGCCGGCCCCGCCCCCCGCCACCACCCATCCCCGGTTACCCATTCACCATTGCCTGACGGCCGGGGGAAGGGACCAAGAGGTGGTCAGTGCGCCTCATAGTGTCTGGTCCAGCAGTCGTTCTGGTCATTTTGCCATTAGGGTCAATTTGCATATTACCCTTTTATTATATAGGATGGGTCATTCAATATCTCAGCTATAGATGCAAAAATATGGGTGGGAAGCCACTCAAAAAAAAGAGAAAAAATAGAGCCCAGCAGTAGTTGGTGTGGCTCAGTTGGTTGGGTGACATCCTATGCACGGAAGGGTCCCTGGTTCCATTCCCAGTCAGAGCACATGCCCAGGTTGTGGGCTCCGGCCTGCAGGAGGCAGCCGATTGATGTTCAGCTCTCACATCAATGTTTCTCTCTCTCTCCCCCTCCCTCCCTCTCTCTCTAAAAACCGATTTTAAAAAATCTAAAAATAAAAAAATAGAGCCCATGGATATAATCTGGAGTTTAGGCAGACTGATTCAGAGGCGTTCGCTGTGCAATTACCTATAGTGAAAAACTCAATACCACCTAAAAAGTGTTCAGCATTAGAATGAGTAAATGATGATTGAGCCATGCGATGGGGTACTATGCAGCCATTGAAACGTCTATGAATCATGTATGAATATACTTGAAAATATAAGGTATAAAATTACATATACATCATGGTCTCAAAGTATAAAGTATACAGAATTATCAAGAAACAAAAAGGTGCCAATATGGTCACATGGTGTCCTTGGGTTTTGATTTTTCCCTTATTCTTCATACATTTAAAGTTCTGTATAATGAACACATAGCAAGCTATATAGCTAGAAAACATTTTTCCTAATACTTCATGTCTGCATTGATAAACACAACTTCTACTTTTTCCCCCTGGTAGCATATGTTATTGTGAAAATGAAAAAGTCATTGCTTTTTTTTCTGTCCTAAGACAGAAAATTCATACATGAGTTTCTACTAGAAAAGCATCCTCAGTGGGAGCATGTAAATACTACTTCGCCGAGGTGAACTGTAAACGTTTTTGTTGTTAAGAAATTTGATCTCTAATATATGAGTTTTCAGGCAGCTCTTCAATGGAATTATTTTCATTTGCTAAAAATAAACCAATAGACACAGCTTGAGGTTATTCTTGTTTATCAAGAAGGTGAAAGTAAATTATTGTTTCTAATTCTGTGATGACTCTTTAAATGTGGCAAAGGATACCTCAAAGTGCAGATTACCACTATATAGTAGAAATGAGCATTAAATAACAAATATTACATACTCATATAAGTGCAAAATATAATTTTAAAGTATTTTTTATATTTTCCCAGTAATATTTCCATTGCTTAAAACATTTTTACACTTAAATTCCTCTTTAGAATCAGTTTAGAATAAGAAAAGAAAATTTAAAACATTACATTATAGCTATGCATTGTTTTTGTCCACCTTAAAACAGAATTATTCCAAATGACTTTTGGCATAGTCTAAAAACCAAATGGACCGCTCATGAAAACGCCTAACATAATAAACCAGAGACTAGAGAATTATATTCTTTTCTAGGGATCACATGTAAGTAATACTACAGACAGTCTGGGCAGCACAACCAGAACTGAGCGAAGTCTGAAGGACCCATGACTGCAAAATAAGACACAGGGAGAAAGAGCCCTAAACTTTGTACAATGGACATAATGTTAGAACACATAAAAGGGTTGTGAATGCCTCCATGATATACTAAAAGGAATCCAGCATTTGCAAAGCCATTGATTAGAAATAGGCATAGTCTGTTAGACTTGTCATTTCAACCAATTTGCTGCGTAACCAACTCATATCTTAGGAGATATTCCAGGATAAGGACGTGAAAACAAATTTGAGATTTTGCAGCACAGTGCTACTTAAAAGTATGAAAAAACTATACTAAATACATGTTCAGAAATACCAAGAGAATTTATCAAATATGCTAAATGCTGCTATTTTATCTGAAAACAACAAACCCATTTTATTACCAACTTGTGGGAAATGCATTTTATAACCCAACACTTGGGACCCACTGTCTCCTCACATCTGTTACACACAAAACACTTCCATCACAAATCACATTGTAAAAGATGTCTGAACTGTAAGACCAAACACGTTTCAATCATCACCAACCTTTCCACATTGACCGGCTTATCAAATTTAAACAAGATGTAGTCTCCTGCTGTGGGAGTGATAGCCCAGAAGAAATCCTCCCCCATGTATGTCTTCTCCAGTGTGTGTCCTTGGTAGACCTTCAGAGAAGTAGATACTTCCGCAGGTGGGTTTACATGGATCTTAAGAAGTAATGGTTTCATGTAGTCTTTATCCTAGGAGGAGAACACACATGCGATTAAAACAACCCACAGCTTATTCTTAAGGGGAAGAACACTGAGTAACAAATCGTACGTTCATGAGAAAAATCAAATGAAATCACCAACCGTAAGTTTCTGGAGTTTTCCTGTTAGTGAAGAATGCAGACCAACGTGCTGAAAGAGGGAAGGTCTGAAACGAATTCGTAGATTTGCTTTCTGTCTATCACAATGTTTCTAAATATTAGGGAAAAAATCATGTTAGTGTTACATTATAAAGTGAAATCTTGTCCTCATCTGAAAACTGAGGAGTGCTTTAGGAAAATATTGAAAAGAAAATCCAACTCCATCTCATAATTATAAATCACATTTTTTAGGTTGCTCACTGAGGCATTAATAGAATCACTGCCTACTTGATAAACAGACAATATGCAAAAATTTAAAATAAGCACATCTAAGGGAAGAGTTAAGGATTTAATTTCAACCATTTCTCACACTATGTCAATATAGACTTGACTTTTAATATTAAAATTCACAGAGAGGAACCAAGATGGCGGCATAGGTAAACGCCTGTACTTGCTGCTTCCCACAACCACATCAAAATTACAACTAAAATACAGAACAACTATCACCCGGAACCACAGGAAAGCTGGCCGAGTGGAAATACAACCAGAGAGGTAAAGAAGAAAGCGCATAGAGACTGGTAGGAGGTGCGGAGGCTCGGAACGGGCTGGTCCGGCACCCGGGTGTGCTGCTGTTTTAACTGGGAGGGAGATCACCTCTTTGGAGGCTGCCTGGAGGAGAAAGCCCCACACCAGACCCCCAGCCCAGGGTCCCAGAGCTGGGGAAAGAAGTCCCTACGGACTGTAAAAACCAGTGCGGATTGGGGCTGAGTGACACACAGGCTGCTGGAGACCCAACTGCTCCTCTTAAAAGGCCGGCATCGCAAACTGAATTTACAAGCTCCCGCTTGCTCTAAGCTCCAGTGCTGGGCAAGGCTCTGGGGAACCCAGACACATACGGGGAGAAACTGGACAGTCTGGCATGGGGCAGGAACACGGGGGCGTCTTTTTTCCAGATGGAGGTGCTCGCAGCAGTCACTGTTCCTCTGCTGGGACCTCCTCGGTGCAGGGCTGACTGGCAGCCATTTCTGTTTGCTCCACCCTGGAGATTCCCTGAAATCCCGCCCCACCCAATTCACAACCCCACCCAAGCTTTGCACAACAGCTTTTGAATATGAATGGCCTGTCCTTTCTCAGCCTAAAACCTATCAAACAAGGTGCAGCTGGGTCAGGGAGCCCCAAAGCTATCAATGAAAGGCCCAAGACCCACACCAGCCTGCCTTGCTTCACAGCTGGGCCTTGTCTGGGCACTTCCAAACCTGATAAAAAGAAGAGCAATCTACAGATCTCTCTGTAGCTCCTGCTGGGTGGCCCCACGCAATGGCTGACTTTGCACCTCCTTGGAGATTCAAGAGCCAGTGAACCCAGTAGTCAGTGTGAGACCATACCAGATTACAACTCTTCACATCTATAAGTGACACACTCAAGCCCCACTGAAGCAAGTCCTGCTCCATAAGGGTGTCTCCAGCACAGAAGTTCTCCCACTGCAGACACAGCTGATTCTCACAGCCAATTGGCCTGGAGGTCAGTTCCTCCCAGTGATACCAACAGCAATCAAGGCTCAACTACAATAAGACTGTGCACACAGCCCACAAAGGGGTGCACCAAGAGTGTCTACCTCAGGTGAATGAGGAGGCTGAGCCTTATAGGACACCTACTACACAAGGCCACTCTATCAACTCAAGGAGACATAGCAGCTCTACCCAATACATAGAAACAAACACAGGGAAGCAGCCAAAATGCAGAGACAAAGAAACATGTTACAAATGAAAGAAATGGAAGGACGCGAACTACTGGATATAGAGTTCAAAACCACAGTTATAAGGTTACTCAAGAATTTTCTAGAAACCTCCAAGGAACTTAGTAAGACCTTCAAGGATCTTAGTGAGAATGCCAAAAAAATGGAAAAGGACCAGTCAGAAATTAAGCATACACTAACTGAAATAAAGAATAATGTACAGAGATTCAACAGTAGACTAGAGGATCCCAAGAATGAAGTCAATAATTTGAAATACGAGGAAGCAAAAAACACCCAACCAGAAGAGCAAAAAGAAAAAAGAATCCAAAAATATGAAGATAGTGTAAGGAGCTTCTGGGACAACTTCAAGCATATCTACATCCAAATTATGGGGCCGCCAGAAGAAGAGAGAGAGAGCAAGATATTGAAAACCTATTTGAAGAAATAATGACAGAAAACTTCCCCTACCTGGTGAAAGAAATAGACTTACAAGTCCAGGAAGTGCAGAGAACCTCAAACAAAAGGAATCCAAAGAGGACCACACCAAGACACATCATAATTAAAATGCCAAGGGCAAAAGACAAAGAGAGAATCTTAAAAGCAGCAAGAGAAAAACAGTTAGTTACCTACAAAGGAGTACCCATACGACTGTCAGCTGATTTCTCAACAGAAACTATGCAGGCCAGAAGGGAGTGGCAAGAAATATTCAAAGTGATGAATAGCAAGAACCTACAACCAAGATTACTTTATCCAACAAAGCTATCATTCAGAAGTGAAGGTCAGATAAAGAGCTTCACAGATAAGAAAAAGCTAAAGGAGTTCATCACCACCAAACCAGTATTATATGAAATGCTGAAAGGTATCCTTTAAGAAGAGGAAGAAGAAGAAAATGGTAAAGATACAAACTATGAACAACAAATACACATCTATCAACAAGTAAATCTAAAAATCAAATGAATAATGAATCTGATGAACAGAATAAATTGGTGAATGGAATAGACTCAGGGGCATGGAACAGACTGACGATTCTCAGAGGGAAAGGGGCTTTGCGGGGTGCAGGAAGAGATTAGACAAAGATCTTATATGCATGTATGCAGTACCTATGGACACAGACAATAGGGTGGCAAGGGCCTAGGGTGGGGTGGGAACCAAATTATGGGGGTTCCAGAAGAAGAGAGAGAGCATCTATAATAATCTCAACAAAATAGATTTAAAAAAAAAAGAAACGAAAAAGACATATAAATGACAAATCTGGATTATTAATAAAATAAATTTCTAAAAAGCAAAAATATAAACTAAACTATAAACTAAAGGTTCGGGTCAAACAGACAAAATATACAAGAAGGTAATATAATTAAGAATTTGCAAATAATTAAAGGGACATTTGGTTGCATGAAAGCAATTTGAAAATGTAAGGCAATAACTTGACTATAAGCAAGTAAACGATATGAAAAGTGCCACCGATACATCTATCTCAGCACAGTTAAGGACATCTATGTTTCAACTCAAAGTGCCTCGGAGCTTAGACTTCAGATCAACCTGACGTCAAACTGATCAGAGTGCGAGACACTCGATGCCAGCAGGGCTCTTGATGGGTGTTAGTTTGGAGCTTCAAATCAGCCACAGCCAGCTGGTCATGCTTTCATTAACTCTTCGTTTTCAATGACTTTTTATAAGTTTTAGGTCAAGAACATGTTAAAAAAGACATTTATAAAACATTTCCACTTTGAAAGACCTCCAATAATTTACTGGGTATTAAAAGGCCTGATTTTGGGGGGAACCACTGTTCCTCATATTTGTTATACACACAAAAATTTCCATCATAAATTGCATTATGAGTAAGAGGTGTGAATTGTAACACCAAATATATTTCAAAATTCACCAACCTTTCCACATTGACTGGCTTATTGAATTTAAACAAGAGGTGAACATTATTACTGACACTAGAACAGAAGTAAAGGAGTATATTTTATTCACACAAATTCAACTACTCAAGTGGAAGGAGAGGGAGACGGAAGGGAAAGAGCAAAGGGAGTGGAGAAGAACCAACAGGGCCTGAGGCTGAGCCAGACACTCAACAGGCAATGGACACATGTGGGCCGGAAAGGTCAGAGCCGGTCAATCGGCCTTTGGAAAAAATGTGAGATTGCGTTGAAGGGTTTCCCAGACCACGCCAAGGAGGCCATTCCAGATACCAGCAAGTATGTGTGGCAGCTTCTCTGATGTCTAGTGGAAGCAACTGAAGAAGTACGGACCACAGAGAAATGTGGCCAAGGAGTGAAAGAATAGATACAACTGGCCAAAGGGCTGTGGACTTAAATGCACCGGTGATTTAAAGGGTTTTCATTGTTTTAATTTTTACTATCAGGAATTTTAACCTCAAGGGCTCACTTTAGAACCTAGCCATATATTAGATTAAACTGCACAGGACCAAATAAATGCAAGCATATTTTAGGAGTGAAAAGATGGCGTTAAATTTTTTATCCTATAATAAAAATTCCTGTAATTCACAAAGAAAACACAGGGAAGGCCTTACATCATGGAATGAAGGCAGTGATAGCTACAGAAGATAATGTCCTAAAAGTGCATTGGAAGGTAGCATGATAAAACTATTCTAGGGAATATAAGGTCATAAAATCAAATTAAATTACATGTCTATTTGTTAGAATGAATATTAAGTCAACCATATAACAATATATGCTTTTAATAAATAGTTCGTGTCATTACATGTCACAATTTACTTATTCATTTTTAAGAATGTACACCCATATTTTATTTATGCTTACACCAAATAAATAAAAATTTGCTTTTTCAGAGGTACAATTCAAATTGGACAAGAAAAACATCAAATTAATTTTTGCAATAAGATTTCTAAGAAAGTAACTTGATGTTTGAATAATCAAAGCAAAAGTCATCGTTCACTTATCACCACCAAAAAGGTCAGCATGTGAGTGTGAACATTGGTTTCTTCCAAGTAATAAACTGAAAGGTACTTTTGTGACCTGCCATTATTTTGGTGTAAAATATCACTTCTATGTTATTCCTTATTTCCAGGTGTGTAGGAGTCTGATATTGTCCCCAAAGTATTTATAAAAAGAAAGCTGACAGAGAATCTGAAGAAAATTTAAGTAGCCCACAGAGGACAGATATGATCCACACCTGCAGCCAACAGCAATGAGACAGCAGAGCCTAAAGACACGAGACACACTGATCAGAACTGAAAGGTGGGTTTAACTTATTCATTGGATTTTCCCGCTACTATTTAAAAGTCATTCTATTACTGAAACTTTTGTCAGTTCAAGAAAGAAGTCAAGCACTCAAAATGTTAAGTGGAAACACCTATTTAACTGTTCATTCATAAAATCTAGCTCCCTAAAAGTCACTTTCATGAAATATAGAAAAGAAGCTTCTTCCACCTCCTGGGAAATTAACTTACTGCATCTTTTTCAGGGTTGCAGACTTTCACCCAAAGAATGTGGTCCAAGAGCCAATCAATGGGCTTCTCCTTATAGAACATAAATATGAATTCCACAATCAGAGTGAGGTCTGGTGCTTGAAACATTTTACCTGAAAAGATATTCCAGTCAACGGCGGTAATAAAGAAGCCAAGCATGCATACGGCATACGTCAGGGAAACCTACACAACAAATAAACTAACTCATGGTGCTCTTTCAACTATGAGTCATTATGAATAATGTCCCCACTTGTCTTATCACAATAACAAACTTGCTTTGGGTCAACATGGAGCTATCATCCTATATAATAAAAGGGTAATATGCAAATCAACTGAACGGCAGAATGACTGATCATTATGATGCACACTGACCACCAGGGGGCAGATGCTCAATGCAGGAGCTGCCCCCTGGTGGTCAGTGTGCTCCCACAGGGAGAACAGCAGCGGTGGTGGGAGCCTCTCCCGCCTCGAGGCGGAGCTAAGGATGTCTGACTGACAGCTTAGGCCCACTCCCTGCGGGGAGCGGCCCTATGGACCTAAGCTGTCAGTCAGACATCCCCCCAGGGATCCCGGACTGCAAGAGGGCGCAGGCCAGGCTGAGGGACCCCCCTGAGTGCACGAATCTCATGTACCGGGCCTCTATTCTGGATATAAATGGAAGTAGTGAATTCCTGATTTTCTCTATTACAAATCTATCATACAACTACTGGTTCAAAGGATTCAAGAATCAAGTCAGAGATTTTTTCCTTTATGTCTTAATAAGATTCTTCCCATTTTTAAAAAAAAGGAATTTAAGAGGGTTAGATAAAAACAAATTTTTAAAATAATAAATGCAAAAAACAAGGACTCCTAGTTCTTCTGTCTTCACTTAAACCTTCACAAGTAAAGATGTTTTTTGACTCTTAAATTAAGGTTGAGATAAGTGATCAGCAAGATCAAAGGCCCAGCCTCTAATATTTAAAGTTTTAAAGTACTATAGGAAGTGAAATGTTATCCTCTGGGTGTTTTTCTAAACCTGTAAATTTCCTTCAATTCTTTGATTTTCAACATATTCTCTTTAGTTGGATAATTTAGGAATGTTAGTGAGAAACTTTTTAAATTAGCATCCTGACTAGTCAATAAAAGAAACAAATGAATACAAATTAATCACTGGACAGGAACTTCATGTACTACACCAAATACCAGGAATTCATATTAGAAAACTGTTAACTTGACATTTTTTAAAAGCCCATCTTGCAAAAGCAGTGGGCTATTGAAGAGGGTCATAGAGAATTCAGATATGCTCACCAGGACCATGGCTGGCTTTGCATGTGGACATACGGAGGGCTGCCTTGTAGAACTCTAGAGTAAATACTACAACCTTAGAAATCTCCAAATACTATTTTGGGTTGCCTTACATCATTTCTCTAAGCTGAATTCCCTCAAAAGCAATACATTTCCAAAAAATAAAGACAACTTTAAAGTAAATAAAAAAATTAAAAAAAGAATGAGTCCAATATCCCAAGACTCACAATTATTTCTGAAAAGTAGATAAACCCAACACTTTTCTTACCAATGAAGCCCAGCTGGGAGAACTCTAGTATCATCCATTCCTCAGAAGAAAGTTGAAGGGCAAAATTTTTGATAGTGTTAAAGTAATTCGGTTTGGCAATAATATCATCTTCAAGCTAAAGAAAGAGGGGAAAGATTTAGATAGACCATTTTTATTATGAAAAATAATCAAGCATACTTTATCATGAAAATCAAATAAACAATGGTCAAAAATGATGAAATTACAAAACTAAATTTTATTAAAAGAAAATGAGGAAAATAAAAGGGAAGATGCAAAAGGCAAGTCGACTAAACCATTCCCATACTCTGCGAAATAACAACAGCACTCCATGAATTACTCCTTTTTGGTCGTTTTATACTGCCCAATGTGATTTCGCACTGCCTTTCTTCTTTTCAAAGGAAAATAATTTTTTGTAGGCCTTTAATTTATTTTTCCTTTTTACATAAAACATATACCAAGTCAAAGAGAGAGTCAAAGAAAAATCTAGTAGCTTCCCTTCTCTGCCCTCCACCCTGCTAGCTGGGGTGGCCAATGTTAAAAGTTGGTTGTGCATCAATTCAACACCTTCTATATGGACATACAGCACATAAAGACCCATACACACTTCCTCCAGGTTCCCACCCACCTCTACAATTTTATTTAAAAAGGGGGCCATACATTTTTCTCTTCATATACCATGAATAACTTTCAGGTTAATAAATACATATTTAAATCATCCTTTTTAATAGATGTGTAATATTCCATGCTACAGTTGTACAACAGTTCATTCAACTTGCCCAGCTCACAGGCAGACATACAGCTTGCTTCTCATTTTTTGTCTGTGCCAACAATGCTGTACTGATATGCTTCTACTTACATACTTTTCATTTCTGTAGGTTCCTAAAAGTTCCTTTTTTACATTTTGAAAGATATCTTCAAAATCCTTAGGAAGCTGTAGCAGCTCCCAAGGTGCCAGTTAACCCCATGTGCTCTGCCAACACCACGTGTTAACTACGCTCGGAACTGCTGCCAGTTCCATAGGGCGTTGACAGAGACCAGCGATCATGGATGCATGCAGAGATCTCCCCCCAGAATCTTCTTTCATATCATTTTAAAGTCACAAGGTAATTTTAATATCCTAAGAAAACTTTTCCTTTTCTTAATTTCACATTATCATTTCTAGTTATCTAAAAATAAATAATTTTCACTTATTTTAGGATTTAAAGTTTTCATGTCTTACTTCTTCCTCTCTGTGTAACAGTAGTATTTGGAAAGATATGATATTGACTCACCAAATATTTATTGAGCTTTTATTATGTCCCAGACCTGCACTAAACCCTGGGAATAAATCAGTGGCATAAGGCATCTATGATATATTAAGTAACACCAAACAGGCTATAAAACAATATGTACACTATGATTCTGCTCTTACAAAAAGGGTTGTTAAATGAATTTATATGTGTAAAGCGTAAATTGTAAAGAGCAATGCCTGACATATGGTAAGCATGCAACAGACGCTAGTTCATAGCTGCTGCTGTTACTAAATACTGACCTCTGCTGTTACATACTGACCCTGTTTAGGGGAAGTGTTCCTTATCATCCTCCTTCTAAACTCCAACCTTTCCTTAATTTCCTAAACATTTACTTTTCCTATACTTTACAAAAAATCTTTAAGGTTGCATTAATTCTCTCCTTGGAAAGCAAATTTTAAAAATACAGTATAGTTTTAAATTCTCTCTAAAAAGTTCTTGACCATAATGTGTTTATATAGTGGCCCTAGAATAAACAGCAAGGTTCAACTACATTAATATTTGGGATATGTTAAAACAAAACATTTTGAAATTATAGTAAGACTTCTCTAAGGTATTTCAAGGAAATGTACTCTTTAAATTTAGGATATTGGCTTTTATATGCTTAGATGCTGTATACTGTTATATACAACTAGAGGCCCGGGGCACAAATTCATGCACAGATGGGCTCCCTCAGCCTGGCCAGTGATTGAGGCCTATCAGGGGGAGAGACCCCAGGAGGTTGGCCGGCTGGCCCCTCCGATTGGGGCCTATGGGGGGGGGGGGGGCAGGCTGGCAGGGGGGAGGGACCGCAGGAGGTTGGCTGGTTGGCGGGCCGTGGGAGGTTGGCTATGGAAGCACACTGACCACCAGGGGGCAGCTACTGCATTGAGCATCTGGCCCCTGGTGGTCAATACACGTCATAGCGACTGGTCGACTGGTCGGTCTGGTCATAACAGTCACTTAGGCTTTTCTATATATAGATGTTCAGTTCTGACCCTACCATCATTTACATCTCCCTTTCTGCGAACCAAGGAAGAGTTCATGCCCATTTGTCATGTGTTTTTTTAATCCTCACCTGAGGGGTGAGGACATTTTTTTTTCATTGATTTTTAGAGAGAGTGGAAGGGAGGAGGAAGGAGAAGAGAGAGAAACATTGATTGGTTGCCTCCCACACACCCACGACTGGAGGTGGAGAATTGAACCTGCAACCCAGGTATATGCCCTTGACTGGGAATGTTGAACCCCAGGCCCTCCAGTGCACAGGCTGACACTAACCACTAAGCCATGCCAGCCAGGGTCATGCCCATTTGAATGCAGCTGGCCCAAGGTATAATGTCAAGGGAGACAAAGTCTGGCCTTAGTTAAGCCCACCTTCTCATGTGATGCCAAGCTTTTTCCTTCTTTCCTCTCCTCCCAAAGCCCCTTCCCATCTCTCCCAACCCCCAGTAGCTGCCCACCATTTCCTTTCTGATTCAGGGACCAGAATACCTTTTCTTAACACTTTCATCGAAACATCCTCCTAGGTAAGGACCTCATAAACTTTTTATACAAAAAAACACACAAAAGAAACCCTGACAGAAACCCTGACAGACTTAGTGTCTCAGGGGTATTTGTATTTCAAACAAGGAATAATGACCTTTGGTGAAAGAAATGAATTGGGAAATTTAAGCTTAAGTCACTAAGGAAAATGAAATTTGAAAGAAATAATAGCTTCCCAGATTACTGAGATGTTGTCTACCTGGCTAACTTAAAACCCGTATCACTAGAGATTTACTATTCTAGCCATGCTAATAAAATAAAATGTCAGTTTTATTATCTCAATGTAAATATACTGTAGCATACAAAAACCCCCACTATATTAATAGAACCACTAAAAAAATATGGAAATCCTTCTTTAAAATTTTCCATATAATTAATTCTTAGTTCTTTTTAACAGTGGAAACAGGGAGGATGAGAAAGGAGAGGGAGGATGAGAGAAGAGGAGGAGGATAAGAGGAGAGGGAGGGATGGGAGAAAAGGAAAAAAGAGATGAGCAACCTGCCCACTGTCACACCACTAAGTGGAGAGCTAGTGTTTGTGCAAAACCAGAGAATGGAACTTCAGAGCCCACATTCTCAGGGACTAGGGGAGATGCTTCTGCCCTCGATATATTGTTCTGATCTTAGAGATCTGAGAGGGCTTACGCTTTTAACACACCCTGTTTTAATGAAAATATACCCTTGATGTTATCACTTTTTCTTTAAAAGTGTGAACACATTAAAGAAATAACCACACTTACCTGAATGTAATATATGCCCTTTTCCTGAGCATACATCATTAGAAAACAATAATCTAGGTTTTGCTTTGTTCTCCATCTGAAATAAAAATTTTCAAAAATAAGGATCAGACTCAAATTAGGCAAAATAGGATTAAATGTATTACATTTTATGACATATATTATGATATAACATTGTAATCTATATTTTAAAAGGCCTGTGGCCCTAACACCGTAACAACCAAGACCAGCGCGGGTGGGCGGAGCTGCAAACGCGGCAGGGCGGCGGGTGGGCGTGCGGGTGGGTGGGGCTGCGCGATTTCGCGTGCTGGGCTTCTAGTATTCTATAATATGTAATATATTACATAGACACAATATGTATATATTTTATATACATGATATATACACAATATATGTCCACATAGACATACAGATATCTAGATACACACACATACATAATATATGCACTTAGAGGAGAGAGTGAAAGAGATTTCACTTTTCTCTAATGAAGCCATTGTCAAAATGTATTCCCCAAAAGACTAATTCTCAAGATGTCCTAAGGAAAAATGAAGTCTAATGCCAAGAAAGTTTTGGAAGCACACATATTTCCCCTCGGGAGATACATGAATATGCATATAGAAGCACTGAAACATCCAGCAGTAAATACATTTGTTGAAAAAAAATTGTAATCCAGTATTTTCTAAACTTCCTTGACCACTGAACCTTTTTTCAATAACATCTTCATGTCTCCGGGAACTAGTCTTCAACAATTATACTTTGGGGATCACTGCTCTGGTGCCTAAAACTGTGCTCCAAGCAGGTAGAAATTAATAAATATGTATTGAATGCTTAAAAACCCAAGACATCCTATTAAAATTTACAACATTAAGTTCTTTCAGTGAATCCTGGTAGCCTATAGAAACTGACTAATTTTAAATAAGAGAAATGGTTCTAAAGGTCAGGTAAAAAAACCCACAACAACCAGTAAAATAAAAGCTTTGAATCATATTAAGCAAACTTCTCCATAATACAGCTAATACGACTACCTAGAATTTTTTACTAAATTCAACCCTAATTTTTTGAAAAATAAAATTATATTTATTGAGAGACAATTAACCAATTATGAGGACATATCTGTCTTTGGGACAAATTAACAACTCAAGATGTACAAATCTCTTCCCAAAATACCGTTTTTCCTTTTCTCTAGTTACAGAAAATCCAAAACTAATACCATTATTTCTTACTTTGTTTTTAATAACACAATGAAAGCTAAGTCCTTCAGTTTTAGAGAGCCAGACACAAATCCAATAGACTAAGTACTATAATACAATTTTGCAGGACAGTATTATTATTTCTGTCCCTTTATTGAGTCAGCTCTCATTAATGCTGCATACAGATCTGAGATTTCTATCTGGACTAACTTCTGAGTTATAGATAATATACTCTTAAGAAAAGTCATAACATTAGAGCAGCAGTTATAAAAATTACAAAGTTTACCAAATCAACCTCTCATCAGAAATTCCATAGAATTTCCAATAAAATACCCCAAATTTCACTGGCTCTCATTAATTGGCTAACTCCTAAAACATGTGAAGCTTTGATAAAGAAGAACTACATTTATTATACACTAGAGGCCCGGTGCACAAAAATGTGTGCACTGGCGGGGGAGGGGGGGTGGAGGGTGTCCCTCAGCCCCACTTGTGCTCTCTCAGTCTGGGACCCCTCAGGAGATAACCACCTGCTGGCTTAGGCCCACTGCTCGGGTGGAAGATGGCAGGCCCGATCCCTTGGTGCCTGCCCTGCCTCCCTGGGTCGCGCACGGCAGGGCCGATCTGGGGGTTGGGGCACCGCGCTGGGTCGGGTCGCACACAGATGTCCACCACCCTGGGTCACAAATAGCAGGCCCAGATGGCTGCGGGGCAAGCGGGATGTCGCTGTCCCGCCCCACCACCCCGGGTCACAAATAGCAGGCCCAGGTGGCTGCGGGGCAAGCGGGATGGCGCTGTCCCGCCCCACCACCCCGGGTCACAAATAGCAGGCCCAGATGGCTGCGGGGCAAGCGGGATGGCGCTGTCCCACCCTGCCCGCAGTATGCAAATTAGCCATCTTTGTTGGCGGTTAATTTGCATATCGTGCTGATTAGCCAATGGGAGGCGTAGCAAAGGTACGGTCAATTACCGTGTTTGTCTATTATTAGATAGGATTACATTCACAAGGGTGAGGGTTCTAAGAAACACAGGCTCACCTTACTCTTTCTTTAGAGTCTCCAAATGTCGTCTTTAAGTTTGTCAAGTCAGGATAATAGCTTCCAGGAGGTGATATTATTTCCACCAAACCAGAACTGATTTCTTTAGAAAATCTATCATGAGAAAGGTTAGTTGAGTTATTTAAGCTCTGTGGGATTTTATTTATCTTAATGCTCAACTTACTGTGTTATCATAAAACACATCAATAATGAACACACTGTGTTCAAAGAAGTAGTTCATCAATGATTTTCCAGAAACTACAGATTTTTCTAATAGCACACGTTTTAAAAAAATAATGCTTTTAAAAAGTGTAAAGTGCCACTATTCTTGGAGCAGCATGGAAATCCTAGGCCAAATGCAGGTATTACTTTCCTAAAAAGTATAAGAATTTTAACAAATCAAATCGAGATGTCACAGAAAATAGAAATTCAAGAAAAACAAAGTAATGAAGGAGTTTGTGCGCGTGCGCACGTGTGTGTATGTACAACGAAGTCCTTTAATTTTCAGGAAGGTTTAGTTGTCGGTTATACACTATATGTCGTTCTAAACTAGTGTTTCTCACTGAGAGCACTCCTGCCCCCAAAGGGTACCCTGAGCAATGACCAGACATTTGGTCCTCACCACTACGGACAGTACTGACATCTAGTGGGTAGACAGACATCAGGGATGCTCTTAAACACACTACAGTGCATAAGACAGTCCTCACAACAAAGCATTATCTAGCCCAAGATGTTAACAGTGCCAAGGTTGAGAAACTGTTCTAAAGTTTTTTAAACCAATCTTACTTACTCAATAGCAACTTCCTTCTCATTTGCATTCTCCATTATTTCATTTTTGCAAATCTCCACAAAATGGTTGTCTAACTACCTGTCTTTGCACAAATGTTCTTAGTGCTTAATTTTCACTTTTTTTTCCTGGGCATGGTTTTCCTACACATTGATGAAGAAAGGAATTGACAGAATCATTGCATGTGCCCCCACAGACCTGCCCATGTGGCCCATGTGAACGGGACTAGTAATTATTGCTCTGGTCCTCTATTAAGGAATCTATACTATATGATAGTACTTTTATGAAGGCTGCCAAGTTGTGCTTATATGAAGGCTGCCAAGAAATTGAGCACTTGAGAAAAAAATCTAACAAATACAGAGTTTAATCTGGAATTATACATATTTTTTAAATCTCTGGTTTTAGAACTGTGATAGACAAATATAAAGCCACAGTATTTTAAATCTAGAGTTGGCAAATAATTGTTGCTTCTCTTTTGTCTTTTTAAGTAGAAGATAAGTGTTTAGGGGGCAAAAACAGGCAGAATTCAATGATGAAACCATATCAAGACTGATTTTTTAACGTTACTATTAAGACTACCACCAAAGCAGTATTTTACAAATTAATACCTGAAATTTACTAAACTTTCTATCTGTAGTTACCTGCGATGTGCCTTGCTCACAGTAAATTGTTCCTCAACCTTTGCAAAATAGATTAGATTCAGACATAGTTTAGCACTGAGGTTTGAGGCTGCTAAATGATTATCTGCCATAACAGCAGAAAATTTTTGCTTGGTAAACACGGTGAAAAATTTAAGTAATCTCGTATGATTCTATGTTCACTGTTCTCCAGATTAAAGACTGTTATTTGATAATGTTACATACATATAACATTCAAGTCTTTTCTAAACATACCAATTTATCCCATCAGATAACTGGATGTACACCTTCTTTATGACAATGCCAAAGACCAATTATAGGTGGTCCAATGAACACTGAATTCCAGAGAAATGAATTATAAAAGAAGGCATTATCTTTTAGCAGAAAGAGAAGAGATAATAGTAATGATTATTTTCACTTCCATAATTAAGAAGGACTTACTCTTTCTCCAGGTTGGCTATAACACCGTGTACATAATCAATATCTGTCTGGGAAAGAAAAGAAAATTGTACCTACGTTCATTGTTTTTATTTTTTTTATTTAACTTTTAATACTGAACTCAAAATCAAATAAGTGAATAAAACATTCATTGAAAACATTACATTAGATTTTCAGGTAAGTTATGGGATTTGCACTTATGTACCGGTATTCTACTTTAATGCACCACTAGATATCACTGAGTATTTACTAATACAGTAAGTAGATAACTAAGGTTTCATTATTTTCAATTGTCGATGTTCAATAGAAAAAATTAAGCACAAAAACTATTACTACTTCATCTGAAATATCCAAACTGTAAGTAATGAATGAACAGTGTCTGTAAGCAGGCGACAGGAAAGATGTGTCTACTGCGAATCATAAAACCTAGCTTCAAGATTCGCCTCTGTACTCACTGGCCTGTACAACTTAGAGTAAGCCACTTCTCTGAGCCTCAGTTTCCTGCCCTATTTAAAAAAAAAAAGTGGGAGGAAAAATCATCTCAGAGACTATGACAGTAAGTGATAAAAATGGAACAAAAAGCTGTATTATTCTGTATTATTATTATCAAGTTGATAATAAAAACCAAAGTCAAGAGCATTTTAACCAGAGTTACAAGTAAATATTTATCAGGCCTATGTACTTTGAAATTATATACTGCAAGCACAGATCCAATACCCCTATCAATTTTAAATTCAGTGACAGCTTACATTAAAATGCTCCATTGTTAAAATAAATAAATGACACATCAAGTCTGATCTATGTTATAAAGACTACCAAAACACTTAAAAATTGAGGAAAAACAAATATAAAACTTAACCCTAGAAATTACAAAACTTTTGGATTATAAAATGTTGTTTTGTGAGAGTTTATTTTATTTTATTTAATCGATCTTTATTGTTGAGAGTATTGCCGTGTCCTCCTTTATCCCCCATTGACTTCCTCACCCAGCTCAGCCCCCCGTCTAGGCTTTCCCAGCACTATTGTCTGTGTCTATGGGCTATGCATATCCTATATAATAAAAGCCTAATATGCAAATTGTCCCCTCGGGCGGTCACTGACCTGGAGTTCGACCACTCACTATGACGTGCGCTGACCACCAGCGGGCAGTGCGGAACATGGTGGGCGTAAGCGATGCAGCGCTGGCAGCGGGTGGCAGTGGAGGCACTGCCAGCCCTGATGGGCCCCGATGACAGCGGGACCACAGCGGGATGGTGAAGCAGGTGAGTGGGCAGTGCCAGGCCAAGGTGGGTGCAAGCAGGGGCCTGATCGCCCTGCCAGTCACCCCACAGACGGTGACCAGCAGCGGCGACAGGGGGTGGGGCAAGCAGGCGGCACCAGGCCAAGGCGGGGTGCCAGGCAGAGCTGCAGGGCTGCGAGGCTGGGGATGCGAGCTGGGGGCTACGAGCTGGGGGTACGAGCTGGGGCTGCGAGGCTGGGGGGTGCAAGCTAGGGCCTAATCTCCACAGACCACCCCAGAGACCCCACCTGTGCATGAATTTCGTGCACTGGGCCTCTCGTATTCATCTAAGTTTTATGGTTAATCTCTGCCCACCCACCCCCCCTTCCCTCTGACATATGTCAGTCTGTTGCATGTTTCAATGTCTCTGGATCTATTTTGTTCGTCAGTTTGTTCTGTTCATTAGAATAGTTTAACTTTAATTTCTGTTACTTGAAAATAATTTCTATTTTTATTGTTAAATTTAAAGACTCAGGAGTGAGATCCAACTAGAACACAGCCCACAACCCTCTGTACTTCCCCTTCATAAACACAAACAGTAGTGAACTCATTTTCAATAAATTATCACCCAGTGAGTATCTTACTAACTCATCAGGTTCTAATTTTGGAGCACATGACCAAGCCTGGTTTATATAAACTTGAATAAGTTTAGTAACAACCTGAAACTCAAATTGATTACCATTTACTGAGTGCCAGTAATTTGCCTATCCAAGGAAACAATATGAATAGGGCCAGCTCCCTATCTCCAGGAGACTCTTCAAAAGGGGGCCAAGAAGAATAAACTTATGTGAATATAGATTTATTATGTCATGTGTAATAAAATTTATGAAGTGCAAGTGCTCCATATCTAATCCACACATAATATCCTTATGTTTAAAAAATACATTTTTTGCTGATTTGACAGAAAAAAAATAGGTACAGTTTTGATTCATTCACATCAGACAGCTATTATTTGTGTTGTCTCTCATCTTTTTTTTCTTTTTTTACAATTTAAGGGAAAAGAGTTCAGTCCCCCAGACTAAATAGTCAGGTATTTCATGTTTTAAACATTCTTGTGGCACATGGGCTGAAAATCGCTGTGCTATGTATTAGTTTTCTCATCTGTCCTTCTCTCTGATGTAGGTTTCATTGGGCAGAGGCTTTGTTTTGTTCAGTGATAGGACTGGCTTATCACTGTGTCAGTAAATATTTGTTGAATTACAAGCAAATTTTATATATCTCCAATTTCTTCCCCATTAGATTTGTATGATATATAACCAAAGCATAAGTGAACATCTTAAAATCTAGCTGCTGAAAAATTACAAGCCAAAATACCACTGATGCACCAACACAGTAATCTGCAGTTTAAAATCAAGAATAGAAACAACTAACAACTAAAAAAGACTGGTAATTATGAGAGCTTAAGAAAACATAACTATAGAGAGGGCTACTCTTTATTTCTCAAGTGCTTTGGGGTGTAAAAAGTTCCAAAGCACTCAGGTAACTAATCCCTGCCTGAAAACACTAAACTGTCTCACTAGAAAAGACCAAACCACTTAATCAGAGTTCACCCAGGAACACAACATTGACATTATATGCAATTACCAATAAAAATCAGATACAAATCTAGAATACAGAACCTATGGAATACAGCTAACACAGTGTTCAGGAAAAAATTCATAGTAATTCTTATATTAACAAAAAGAAATAATGGAAATAAATCAATTTAGTATCTGGGACAAGTATAACATGTAAAGTATAACATGTAACTAACAAAAGCAGAAAAATTAATAATGTTAAAAGCCAGTATTAAAAAATTTTTTAAAGTGAGTATTAATCAGAAAACAACAACAACGAAACAAACCCAAAAGATGGTTTTTGAAATAATAAAAACAGATCCACTCGCTAAAAAGAGGGAGACTACAATATACACACATATATAAAGAAATCAGGGGGAAATTACCACAAAAAGAACAAGAGTTGACTTTGCTCCACTTTGTATAAAGCAAATTTTAAAACTTAGGTAAAATTAATAAATTTCTAGAAAAATATTTTACAAGGAATCTATATAGGTCTTTATGTGCTAATATAAAAAGTTAATATTATACCATCTACATAGAAATAGTGCGAAAAAGAATATATCCACATATAGACACATTAAATATCTCTGAATGGGAACAACTACTAACAGTTGTTGCCTGTAGAGAGGTAATAGTGACTAAGGAATAGCACTAAAAGGGAGACTTTTCAAAGTATACAACACACATATTTATAATTTTTTAAGCATGAGATCATATTACCTATCCAAAGAATAAACAGTAAACACTGTTTCCTAGCGAATAAAGTATATAATAGAAAAATTTAAAAAACCCTATAGCAATTTGATCAATTCTCTGTTATTCAACTTCTGTATTCATTTATAAATTTACCTGCTTTGCATATTTCTGCCCATAAGCCAACTAACTAGCACTGTTAGCACAATTTAAATAAAAGAATTTTAAAGAAGGCATAGTAATGGCCTCAGGCGCTCTAAACAAACTACAAAACACAAACTAAAATGTGTACAATAGTAAAAAGCAAAACTATTTTCATGCTATATTCTAAACACACTGTGAGCTGGAAATTCTGTAAACTCAATTTTTCAGAAACTACCTTTAGGTGCTTTTCTAACATGATGAATTTGTTATTTCATTATAGAATCTCAACTTGAATTCCTCAGTTCAGGAACTTAACATTTTAACATGCCTTTGGAATGTTTTTAGGCAAATTACAGAAACAATGTGAATAGTCATCTATAATAATAAAAGCGTAATATGCTAATTAGACCAAACGTCCTTCTGGACAACCTTCCAGACGAAGCTGCAGCGTTGGCGGGGGCTGAGGCAGAGGCAACTGCCATGGTGGGTGGGGCCGAGGCAGAGGTGGCTGCCGCAGGGGGGGGGGGGGGCAAGCCCCTTGCACGAATTTCATGCATCAGGCCTCTAGTAATGATATAAAAGATATGCTACGTAAAGATATGCTAGCTAAAGTTCTCTTTCCAGTCCTAGCCAGTTGCTCAGTGGTTAGAGCATTGGCTCTCAGACTGAAGGAGTGCAGGTTAGGTTAGATCCTGGTCAAGGGCACGTACCTCGGTTGCAAGCTGGATCCCCTGCCCACGTGCAGGAGGCAACCAATCAATGTGTCTCTCCCACATTAATATTTCTCTCTCTGTCTCTTCCCTTCCTTGCCACTCTCTAAAAATCAATGGAAATATATATGTATATATATATATATATATCCTTGGGTGAGGATTAACAAAACCAAAAAATAAAGTTCTCTTTCCAAATTCTCAGCAATCTTTACGGTCATCAACATAATGTGGCTGTTATAAATTAGGCAATATTCTATCTGAAACGCACCTTAAAAATTGATTTCATCTCTTTCACTTGGAATAGCATTTAGCCTCCTAGCTCTGCACATCCATGTTGACTGCACGTTCTGTTTATAGCAATTGAGGTATTTTTGAACAAGTTGTAAGCTGTACCAGTCAGGATCTTCATAGCAATAGAAACTGACTGTGGCAGAACAGTCAGACACTGAAAGATGAGAGGTAGAACTCACAGGACCTCCAGCGAGGCCGAGGAAGCAGGCTTGGAAGGCGGCAGAAATAAAGCTGGACGACAGCCAGAAACCACAGCCTGCTCCCAATGCTACAACTTGCAAAGCCCTCATCAGTCTTCAGTGCCTCTGAACCCCGCCCTGTGACCATGGGAAAGACACCCCCACAGCCACCATCTGTCACCACAATGGACTGTCCACAATCTCTGCTTCTTTAGAAAAATATTTATTCTAAACGTTATTTTCTTATTTTTTGCTACTGGCATTTAGAAACGTAAGTTGATCCTACATCCAGCCACCCTGATAAATTCCCATTAATTCTAATAACGTAATAATCTGTGTGCTTATCCCTTTGGGTTTTCTGTGTCAACTGGAAATAATAAAGCACCACGCCAAGTCCAGGATAGGAATACCAAGGGGCTGAGCCCAGGTCACATGCCTGAACTAGTAAAGGAAACATCTGACATTTTTAGTTTCAATAGTGGGCAGGAGGTACTTCCTTCCTCCACCAAGATTCATAAAATAGGGAATTCTCCAACTATAAGAATGGGACAGGAAAAAGAATTTTTGCTAAAATTCAGAGTACAGTGTAGGAAAACGTTTTGTCAGAAATGATCATGAATGACAGAAACGATATGAGCAATGATACAGCGCTATAAGAAATATTATACAGACTATCACTTGCTACTAGTGTTAATGAGCCCCAAGCTACCAGACACTTAGGTTAAAACTACGAATTAAGGTAGAATCAAATGTAGTAATTAAGAATTTTAAACTGCCTAAAAGCAATTCAAACAACTCTGTAAATTAATTCTTCTTTCAGTACAGATTTTCTTCCAAATATTAAAATTCTATACAGATACATATATAAATACTGCAATTCAGGGGGAAGAGTCTTCAGAGACCAGAATACTGCCCACACCTGAATTTACAACACCTCCCCATCTGGGACCTCCGTGTGCTTCCCTGTACCAACACTGAGCTCAAAAGGCTCAAGAACGTTATTCTCATTTCAGAGATGAAGACACTGAGGCTGAAGGAAGAAAAAGGACCTGCTCAAGTGACTGAATCCAGGCCCTGAACCCAGGTCACCTGACTCCAAACCCATTGTTATGACATCTTATCATCAGATAAATGGCAATGGAAAGAGGGTCTTGAATCTTTATGTACATGAATCTGTCTATATACTGAACACTATTTTCTAGTGTATAAGGATAGTTTTCTTCTTTTACAGTAATAAGACTTTTTTCTGAGTAAAAATCAGTATGTGTTCATTGTAAAAAAAAAATTCTAATTTTGTAAAACTGTATGCAACAGAAAGTGGCCTCTTCCCATAATCCCAACTCTCAAGGTACCTGCTACTAATAGCTGACAGGATATTACACAGGACCATGTTCTCTATTTATTTTATTAAAGCACAAAGGAGCTGTTTACATGTGTGTATGTGCTTGAGTAGATTTTCACACCTACAAATGTTACTACTGAATCAATTTTTAGAAGCAGAAAGTTGGGTCATAGAGTATACTTTAAATTTTAATAGCTATTGCCAAAATGCTTTCCAAGGAGGTTGTATCAATTTCTACTGGTATACAATATGCAAGTGACAAATTTAATTACTTAAGACGTAAAATTTCTATAACAGACAAAAAAATACAAAGTTCCTGCAAAAGACAAACTGAACTAAATATTTCAAAGAATTTATTCCTCTCATATATGAAATTTTCTTACAAATTAAAAAAGAGCAAAGGTTATAAAAATAATTATAAATACAAATGGTGCAAGAAAAACCTATAAATCAGCATTTAATTCCATCAGTAAAGAAATCCAAATTGAGCAAAAGCAATGTATTATTTTTTACCCATCAAACTGACGAAAAAATTAAAGACTGATATGATCTAGTAGAGCATGCGGATGGGGAAACAAGCTTTCTCACAGAACCTGGAAGAGGCATACACTGGCTCAGCTTCTGTGAGGCGTTCTGGCCAGGCACGAACATTTCAATGTATGTGAACGCTGACCAAGGCAATTCCACACTTAGGAACTGATCACACCTCAGTAACTAAACAAAGGACACAAAATTTATGCCATGCTGAAAATAACAGCAAAAACTTGGAAACAGTCTAAATGTCTAGCAATCAGAAATTAAATAAATTATGTTAAAACCATACAATGGAAAATTTTGTAGCCAGAAAAACTGATGTTGTGATATCTATTCTTTTTTTAAAAAATATATTTTATTGATTTTTCACAGAGAGGAAGGGAGAGGGATAGAGAGTTAGAAACATCGATGAGAGAGAAATATCTATCAGCTGCCTCCTGCACACCCCCCACCGGGGATGTGCCCGCAACCAAGGTACATGCCCTTGACCGGAATCAAACCCGGGACCCCTCAGTCCGCAGGCCGACACTCTATCCAACGAGCCAAACCGGTCAGGGCAGTGATATCTATTCTTAACATGAAAAAATGTCTATGAGCCCAGCTGGCATTGCTCATTGGTTGAGTGTCAACCTATGAGCCAGGAGGTCATGGTTCGATTCCCAGTCAGGGCACATGCTCAGGTTCTGGGCTCAATACCCAGTGTGGGGCGTGCAGGAGGCAGCCAATCAATGATTCTCTCTCATCATTGATGCTTCTATCACTCTCTCCTTCTAACTTCTTCTCTGAAATCAATAATAAATATATTTTTAAATGCCCATGAGAGATTAAAATACATATAGAACAAATCCATTTATATATGTACACAAGCCACAGGAAATATTTCTTTTCTTTCGTTTCTTTTTTTTAAATAGTAGCTCATATATATATATATTTCAGAGAGGAAGGGAGAGAATCATTGATTAGCTACCTCCTGCATGCCCCCCACTGGGGATCAAGCCTGCAACCCAGGCATGTGTCCTTGACCAGAATCAAACCTGGGACCCTTCAGTCCGCAGGTCGACACTCTATCCACTGAGCCAAACCGGCTAGGGCAGGAAATATTTCTTAAGATATATTTCAGAATATCTAATTATTATATCTGTATGGAGGAATAGCAAGTAATTTTTCATTACACATTTCTGTAATTGTTTTAAATAGTAAGCATGTGTTCTATTCTTATATTAAGAAATACATTAAAAACACTTTCATTTAGAAAGATAGGGAAACACTGAAAAGCTGGGAATCAGTGGGCCAGAACCAGCTGATGTCCTAAATCAGTGATGGCGAACCTTTTGAGCTCGGCGTGTCAGCATTTTGAAAAACCCTAACTCAACTCTGGTGCCGTGTCACATATAGAAATTTTTTGATATTTGCAACCATAGTAAAACAAAGACTTATATTTTTGATATTTATTTTATATATTTAAATGCCATTTAACAAAGAAAAATCAACCAAAAAAATGAGTTCACGTGTCACCTCTGACATGTCATAGGTTCGCCATCACTGTCCTAAATCCTTTCACATTCTGAAATTCTATATAATAATTAAGAAAATAATTACTTCAGGGTGATTTTTCTCATTATTTATGAAAAACTTGCTCAAGATTTATTCTTTCCCTAGATCTTTTGAGGAAACTAAAATTACAATAAATATAATATTCCTCATTCTCATGATATTTTACCTTTTCAATAATGGATAATGGTTGCATCTTGAGAGTACAGACAAGGGGTCAAGAGAATAACAAGATGATAAAACCCATGTCTAGGCTAAACTTTTCTCAGCTTTCTATACTCCCAAAGAACACCAGTGCCAATCTCCAAATTTAGGTTCTATAACTAGAAACAGGGACTCACTGCTCTGAAAGATTTATGTATGTAATATTATCCTCAATTGTAGCTGCAGTAAAAAAGTTAGGGCAAACGTAACCATTGGATAGAATACATTACCTAAACTTTACTCACATTTTTAAAAAATGCACATAAAAGTATATTCAAATATTCAATTACAGTTTTAACTCATAGATTATAGGTGTAAAAATCACAACAATTAAATAATTACCTCTCCTATGAAGACTACTATTACACAGTCCAATTTCTCTTCAGGATACAGATTATCAATAAGGGAGTGAAGCGTTTCTACGAGGTAAGATTTAACTTCTCTCTTCACAGTAGGAATTCCCATTACTATTGAAACTGAAACAAAATTATACATTATAGTTATAAAATTATAATTACATAAGATTTTACAAATATATAACAATACCACTACTTCAAAAATATTATACCCTTCAAATTGATCAAAATAATTGAGGTATCAAAATATACTACATTTCAGAAAGAAAAATAACCAACGGATAGAAAGGCATTATCCATAATACTGTAATTCTTTTTCATAGAACTTATGGAAATAAATAATCCATAAGAAAAGAAATAATGTCAAAGAACTGATAAAAATGAACGATATTAAAACTCATATTAAAAAGTGACTGTAAAGTATAAACAAATTTAATTATACAACTAAACCTTAGAAACACTGAACATCTTAAAAAGTAATGTCCCAGCCCAGCTGATGTGGCTCAGTAGTTGAGCGTCAACTCATGAACCAGGAGGTCACAGTTCGATTCCCGGTGAGGGCACATGCCTGGGTTGTGGGCTTGATCCGCAGTGGGAGGCGTGTGGGAGGCAGCCAATCCATGATTCTCTCTCATCATTGATGTTTCTATCTCTCTCTCCCTCTCCCTTCCTCTCTAAAATCAAAAAGAATATAATTTTAAAAATTAATGTCCCAAATCTCATATATATGATGCACGGAGAAGGCCACATGACATGCTTTCTGTGGGTTCCTTGCCCAAAATGAATAATCTCAATCTAACCATAACCATGAAGAAACAGAAGACAAACACAAATTAGGGGAATACATCACAAAATAACTCATTGGTCAGTACTCTCTAAACCAGGGGTCCTCAAACTTTTTAAACAGGGGGCCAGTTCACTGTCCCTCAGACCGCTGGAGGGCCGGACTATAGTTTAAAAAAAAACTATGAACAAATTCCTATGCACACTGCACATATCTTATTTTGAAGTAAAAAAACAAAACGGGAACAAATACAATATTTGTATTTGCATGTGGCCCGCGGGCTGTAGTTTGAGGACGCCTGCCAAGATCAGGAAAAATAAGAAAGAATGAGGAACTGTCCATGACTGAGGAAGACTAAGAAGATATGATAATTGAGCGAAATATGGGATCCTGAGCTGGATCCTGAAACAAAAAAATACTAATAAAAAAATGGCAAAATGTGAACAAGACTGAAGGTTAATTAACAGTATAACATCAATGTTTATTTTCTGGTTTTGATCATGGTACTATGGTTATATAAGATGTAAATGTTTAGAGGAACTGGTGAGCTATATGGAAGCTGTACTATTCATGTAACTGTTTTTAAGTCTAAAATTTCATTTCTACTATTATGCCTGTTTTGAAATGCAAACTTGTACTTTGTGTGATTAGTATATTAAGGAGCCATTTCAGCATAACACTGATTTCACATTTGTTTATGTGCAATTTCTCCTCTGGAACAAACACTCACAGAAAACTGGGCCTGCTGGGACTGAGTTCAGGAAACTGAAAGGAGCGCTGCAGAGGCACAGAATGCACACTGCCGGCCGGCTGCCCGCTGCCTCGGCTCACTGCCGCCAAGGCCACACCTAGCCACCCCCGGTGTGACCACTCTCTGTCAGATTTCAGACAACCTCCTTTGCACCACTTCTCAAAGCTTCCCAGCCGCAGGCCTTCGAAGCCCATTTTAACACACAAATCACATCTTTCACAAGGCAGAGGACCATAGTAGGTCCTCGGGTTCCGTTGGAGATCTGTTCCGCGATTTCCGTTAAGTCGGAACCCACCTACATAAGCACCTACGTCACTCACATGGAGCACATACACAGCAGTAATGACGTGAAACAGTAAAAAAAAGTTAAAAGGTAACAATTCCTGACCTTTACTTGTAGTAAATAAATAATGAAAAACATAAAGCACATATGTATATACATCGAAATGACAGAACTTTTTTTTTTAATAAATACTGTAAATGGGAGATGGCTACGTAACCACGAAACGACGTAACCCGAGGACTGCCTGTATGTATTCTAGCAATTTCCTATTTATTAATCACTGAACGAGTGTAGAATTATGCTACCATTTTTAAGTTTTTATATTTTTTAATGTGTGTAACTGGCAAAATTGTTGAGTACTGTAAACCTAATCCAATTTTTCTCAGTTTACGGCACAATTCTGCATAGTGCAGTAATTTTTAGGAATGCATATATTGTGTTACAATAGGACTGTATTTCCCAGAAAGTTTTTAAAAATATCACTTCTTAAGAAGTCTTAGTATACTGCATATTAGATATCAGTAGAAAAATACTTTATATCTTTTTAAAATAATTAAGTATTAACAATTAATTGGAGATACTACAAAATACTTAAAATTCACAGAATTCTAAAGCTAGAAGGAAAGTTAAAGATCATGGATCTACAAGTCTATCACCATGATTCTACGGATAAGAATTATAAGATCCAAATAATTCAAGGAACTTGCCCAAGTTTCACATTCCTCTCTTCCATCTGGGACAGAGTTTACAAGGGCTCAGAAAGAGATTTGCTACATTTTCCCAAACATATTTACTAAACACCTATTAAATGTAAGGCATTATTCTAGTGACTGGGATATAATAGTGAACAGCACAGATAAGGTCCCTACCTACCCTCATGGAACTTACATTCTAGAAGAGAAGAGAAGAGAAAATAATACAATCTTAGAGGATAATATGTACTATACAAATTAAAATATGGCAATATTAGAAAGAGTGGGGGGGGGTACCTTTTAGATAGTGAGGGTCATGGATGGCCTCTCTGGTATCAAGTGAGCTGGTAATTAATGATGAGAAAGAGCAGAGGAAAAACATTCCAGGAGAAACAGCAAGGCCCTGAAGAGACAATGACCTTAACAAAATTGAGAAAGAGCGAGGAACAGAGTGCATCTAAAGCAGAATGAGCCTAGATCCAGAGCATTAGTTAGGGGCCATTTCACATGAAACCTTAAGTTTAGTTTTTAATTCAGAGAAAGCCTTTATAAAGCTATAAGTAGGGGAGTGACATTATCCAATTTGTTAATTTTAAAAGTTTACCAAATTTTGTGGAGAACAGAAACAAAAGTGTTAAGAGTAAAAGCATCTTGGGGGAAATCAGGAAGCTATTGCAGTAATTAAAGGAAAAGATGGTGGTTTGAATTAGGATATTTAAAGATGGAGATGAGTGGATGGATATATATTATCCTCATTAGAGGACACGTTTACTGATTTTGAGAGAGAGAGAGAGAGAGAGAGAGAGAGAGAGAGAGAGAGAAACAGATTGATTGCCTCCAGCACATGTCCGGATCAGGGACGAACCCACAACCTAGGTATGTGCCCTGATGGGGAATACAACCTTTTGGTGTACAGGACAACACTCCAACCAACTGAGCTACCAGGCCAGGGCTAGGACATATTTTGAAGACCCTTTCCAATGGGGCTTAGAGACAAAGGAAGAGGAGGATTGAAGGATGACTTAAGCGGATGGGGATCTTTTATTGAGAACAACACACTGTTTCGACCATGTTACGCTGAGATGCCTAAAGACAGGATGAGTTACCCTGGAAGCAAATTTCCATATACTTCAACCTACCTCAAATGGTTGCAAACACAAACGGTATAAAGTTATAATGCAAACCCTATTCCCTACCACTGTCTTGAGTTGTATTGTTTCTGTTTTAAGTTTAGATGGCATGTTTAGAGAAGCTCCAAATATACTGTTTTGGAGCTGAAATTTAAATTCTTTAGTTTAAAACAAGGCACTCAAGGACTCCAAAAACACTAAAAATGAAAGTACTAATTTCAGCTAAGCTTTCAGAATTAGAGTATCCACGCTTGTGGTATTTCACAAAATTACCACAAAAAAAGACAGTTTTTCCAGCCTTCTGGTCACAGGTAGGATTCACTTCCTGGTCCCCTCAGGGTTGGGGAGAACAGTGGGAGGGGTTGTGATTAGTAACAAACAATGAGTCATCCCTGGAACTGCAGTGTGAGTCCTTCAGAGTTGTCTGTCTTCCTCAGCAGAGCAACCAGTAACTGCAAGATGCGGACTGCTCTGTCCGCCTGGATCTCTGCATGACCAATGATGCACAAATCCCGCCAGCCTGATGGACATGTACTTTGAGCAGTAAGTAAGTAAGTAAGTAAGTAAATAAATAAATAAATAACTCTGCATTACTTAAACCACTGAGATTTTGGGGTTGTTAATTACTACTGAATAACGCAGCCTACCCTGGTCCTGTTTGATAAAATGTTCTTCTATGGCTTGCAATCTAGAAATATATGTATTCTAAGGGAGAAGTAAGAGTTCAGAATAAATATGGCAGCGATTGTGAACAATACAGACATATCATCCTTTTGTGGAGGAGCAAGGTGGACCAAGGAACCAAACAGGAATGGAGACAAAGGGTTGTTCTAAGTTCTTTGTCCCAGTAATTAATCATCCAATATTTCCTATTCAAGTATTACCTGTGTACCTATAATACATCAATGATGTACTAGACTATCTAAAATACAGTCATAAGATAGGTAAGGCTGTTGCCTCATGGTGTTTATAATTTGACAGAGATAGCAACTGATATTATTTCCGTTTTCTTCAACTTTTCTGGGAAGTTTACAAATTCTAGTATTTATTTCCTTTATGATAAAAAAAATTAGGAAAAATGTTAATTTGGCATTCTGAATCTTCAATTACTAGTCTACCTTCAGTTATAACTATTTCAATATTCATTGCTAATTAAGTATTTTTAGCCTATCGTGTTTCCTCTGGTTTGATTTTCGTCATTTATTCCCCATTTCTTTCCCTATATTCCATGACAATAGTTTTATCTCTATTGTCTAGTTGCACTTTCCCTGTCTTTGTTGGCTTCATCTTTCTTTTTCCTGAAAACTAACTGTTCTAGGTCCTCAGTTCTAGGTCTTGGGTGATCTCATCCATCCTTGTATCTTCAAAAACCAGTTATTTGCAAATGATCACTCATAAAATTAAACATAAATTTAATTTATGGTCTCGTCTTGGAAACTAGTATTACAAAACACTTTCTACTGTCCTTTATCACGTGAATAGTACCAGCCATCCAGTTATATAATCCAGAAATCTAGGTCCTATCCCTGACTACTCCCTCCTACCTTAGCCCACAAAACCGTCCAACACTATGTCCTCCCATGTATATATCCCCATACATTCCCAACATAGCAAATCACCTTCTTGCCATCGCTACTACCACCACTACTACCTGGCCCAAGCTCACCCTCTCCCAAGTGGATCACTACATCATCTCTTACTGAGTCCTTCCACATCTACTCTTCTTCCCACACTTTCTATAATTTTTCTAATGGCATCAAATGTGAGCGTTGCAAAATTTAAGTCTTATAAAGTCATCCTAAGTCCTGCTTCAAACCCTTCAGTGGCTTCTTTCTGCTTTTAGGATAAAAATCCAAAACCCTACAAATGGTCTGCAAGGTCCTGCGTGGTAGGGGCTCAATTCCTCTCTCGCCTCATCTTGTTCCAAATTCCCATCACTCTATACTTTATCTACAGTGCCGTCTCCATTTTCTAGAGCATTCCATGTGCCCTTCCTTCAAGGCTTTTGTAGTGCTTTTCTCATTTTCCGGAATACTGTATCCTTTTCTCACATGTGGTGGAATACTGCCCCATTCCCCAAGATGCCCATGCCCTAATTCCTGGAATCTGTGAATATATTACCTCACGGGGCAGAAGGGGCTTTCCAGAGATGATTAAGGGTCTTCAGATGGGAAGACTGTCCTGTACTACCCACGTGAGCCTAATGTACTCACAGGGGTCCTTATGAGAAGAAGGCAGGAGAGTCAGAATGAGAGGTAATGTGACAATGGAAGCAAGGGAGTCAGAGTCAGAGACTGTGTTGGAGATGCTATGCTTTGAAGATGAAGGAAGGGCATGAACTAACGGATGCAGGTGATCTCTAGAAGCTGGAAAAGGCAAGGAAGTGGGCTCCTCCCTAAAGCTTCCAGAAGGGACAAGTCCCTGTCAACACACTTATTTTCTGGACCTCTGACACCCAAAACTATAAGATCATAAACTTATATTGAATTAAGTCACTGAGTTTGTGGTGATTTGTTATAGTAGAAATACAAAGCAAATACACCCATCTTTAGCAGGGAACTACATATTCTACTGATCTCAGTTCAAATGTATTTTTAAAAACTTCCCCATATTCCTTAATTAAATCAAATGCCCTTTATGTACATTCTCAAAGCATCCTTTATGTCTCCAATTAAAGCTGTAACTATGCAACAGTTTATATAATTGATTATTTAACTAGTGCATTCTCCTTTGAATTGAAGTTCCACAAGATTAGGAACCTCATCTAATTCTGTGTACCTAAGTGCCTGGCACACAGCAGGTGCTCATGGGTTTTTTATTTCAGCAATTACGTGAAGAATGGCCTGCTGTCCTCTACCAACCAATAATGCCATTCTGGCAGGTACCTACGGAGGGTCTTTGCTCAGCCATCCTGCTCAGCACTGAATAGGCCCTTCATCTGAAGACCTGTTTACTCAAAGAAATGTTCTTCAAGATTTCTAGCTGATCCTTTTATAATAATCAGTTATGAGTTGACCTCTTTCTTCCCTCTAAAAATATATTATTTTTGGCCCCAGCCGAGTAGCTCAGTTGTTCAGAGTGTCATCCCAATATGCCAAGGTTGTGGGTTTGATTCCCAGTCAGGGCACATACAATGAATGCATAAATAAGTGGAACAACAAATTGATATCTCTATCTCTATCTCTCTCCCTTCTCCTCTCTCGAAAATTAATCAATAAAAAAAATTAAGTATATTATTTTTAAACTATATTATAATTACAAATTCATTTCCTTGAGTATTAAGTCATTCATGATGTCAATTTTCTTAACTATTTGGAAACCCTGGTTGTACAAGATGGCCTTTCACCCCCCTGTACTTGCTTGGTCTGTGTACTGCAGCCCGCCTCTGCAAATGCTGTGGGAGGACTGAATGTGGGGGGGGTGGACTGACAGTTTCTCCTTCTGGTTGTGAGAATTCTAGAGGAGCAGCAGCTGCCTGGAGCACTATTCTCCCCCTTCAGCCTTTGAAAGGCTTAGCTTAGCTGGTCTGAGTATTGTTCCTTAATCAGTCTGACCCCTGAAGAATGGGATTTTTAGCAAGAAGCAGTTTTTCTTTGATCTAAAAAACCTAAGTTCTTAATATAAAGTCCCTAACTAGGTTTTTGGTTTCCACAAAATCCCAGAAGTTACATACAAATTTACTTTTTCTATGTGCATTTTTAAAGTAAGAGTCTTGACAGCTTTCCTAGGCTATCCAAAGGGTTCTGTGACTCTAAAAGTGTTAAGAACAATTGCCTAAGCCAGAGGGAAGATTTTTTTTTTTTAAGTAAATGTGAGGATTTTCTTATTTTTCTTTGAGTTGTCTTTTTTTTCTATTTCCCAAAAAATTTTGTCAGCTTGATAAGAATGTTAACTAGCCCTAGCCGGTTTAGCTCAGTGGATAGAGCGTCGGCCTGTGGACCAAAGGGTCCCAGGTTCGATCCCGGTCAAGTGCAGGCTCCTTGGGCCTGGTCGGAGGCAACCAATCGATGTGTTTCTCTCACATCGATGTTTCTCTCTGTCTTTCCCTCTCTCTTCCACTCTCCCTAAAAAATCAATGGAAAAATATCCTCGGGTGAGGATTAACAAAAAAAATAAAAACAAAAAAAAAGAATGTTAACTACAGGAAAGCTGATTGACCAATATTTCATTTTATTTAAAATGGATAAAGTTATAAGCAAATGGGATGGAGTAAGTATCTTCAAAAGGAACAGAATGTCACATTCATAAAATAAAAACAGACTACTATAAAAGGATATATTTGTAATTCTACAGTTTTAAATGACTTTAAAAACACTTGTACTTTCCTTCAGTATTTTTATTAATAATGATTAATGAAGTCTAAACCAACAAATTCACTAAATGGCTTACGGCATCTACCTAAACAGTGATTACTAAAGGGAGAGAATACAATATCAACTTCAGAAATAATGATCAATGTTCTAAGAAAATACTTTTGAGTATGCTACACATCTCGTTCGTCTTTGTTTATCTAGCACCTTCTAAAAAATATTTCTTAAATCATAAATATTTCTTAAATCATAATCTGAACACACTCTTTTAAGAGCTATCAGCTCCTCTGGAAGACAGCAGCCTCCTGCCTCTGCAAATGTTGTGGGAAGGTCAGGATATGGATTAATTTTAATATTCAAAATAAAAAATGACAAAGATTTTACCATAGCCGGTTTGGTTCAATGGTTAGAGTCTTGGGTTTGATTCCGGTCAAGGGCACACGTACCTAGGTTGCAGGCTCCATCCCCAGCCCTGGTCGGGGTGCATGCAAGAGGCAACCAATCCGTGTGTCTGTCTCACATCAATGTTTCTCTCTCTGTCTCTACCCCTGCCTTCTATTCTCTCTAAAAATCAATGGGGAAAAAATATCCTCAGGTGAGGATTAACAACAACAAAAAGACAAAGATTTAAACATTTTTCTGCCTAGAGGTGGAGCTTGAACTAGATTTCTCACAATCCTTTTCAGCTCTACTAATCTGGTCTATGGAGAAAAATGTCCAACTCCTCTCAACATGAACTTTAGAATGAGTCCTAAGTTACTATGCACAGAAAAATAATTTTTATTCTTTGACCTGCCAAACTTCTAACAGACAATGTAGTATTTCAATACACAAATTAAGACTAGCAGTATAACCACAATAAGAAACCAAATATACATACCTCCTGTTCTTCCATTACCAATCTGCACAGCAGGTTGAAGGCTTCCTTCATTTTGCAATAAATGAGGCAAATGATAATAAATACTTGGCACGTGGAGAGATTTTTTGCCTGTTAACTCCTTTAATAGCTTTAAGGTATTATCTGAAACACAGAAGTATAATTATTGCACAAGACACCTTACCTATAGATGTTGCAGTTTTTACAAATATAGCAGTAAAATTTATGAAAACTAGAAATAAAGAATTTTATTTCCTAATTTCATACTTTGGTGAATGGGATCTCCATTTGAAGTGAAAAAGATGCTTTTGCAATAAAATTAAATAATGATACTAAATTTTGGTGATAATGTGATAAATGTTTCAGCTATTCAGAAAAACATCAAAAACCCTGAAACACTTCTGTCCTGTTATTCAATAACTTCCCTTTTAGGAATTTAACTTTTATGCATTCAGTGAATATTTAGTGATTATCTATTTTGTTGCAGCCACTGTGCTGTGTTGTTAAAAATCAATGGTCAGCCCTAGCAGGTTTGGCTCAGTGGATGGAGCCTTGGCCTGCGGACTGAAAGGTCCCAGGTTCGATTCTGGTCAAGGGCATGTACCTGGGTTGCGGGCACATCCCCAGCAGGAGGTGTGCAGGAGGCAGCTAATCGATATTTCTCTCTCATTGCTGTTTTCTAGCTCTCTATCCCTCTCCCTTCCTTTCTGTAAAAAATCAATAAAATATATATTTAAAAAATCAATGGTCATCAAAACATCGATCTTGTTTTTAAGAAAGGCATAATCTAATGAAAATAACTTAAGAGCTACCAGAAGTGTGATTGATTTATATGCAAAGATGTTTATCACAGAGCTATAAACTGGGGCAGAAAAACCACTCAGAAAAGCCTATTTGCCTAATTATTAAAAAATGTTTAATATATTACAGTAAATGATTAGCTGACAAGTTATATAGCCATTAGAAATGGCATTTTTGGAGAATATTCAATGACATAGTAAATTCTAATACATAATTTCAAGAGTAAAAATCAGGCTATAACACACAATAACAATTTTGAAGAAAAATATTCATAAAAAAAGACTAGACAGAAACAAAAAAAATGTTAACTGAAATCATTTGGCAGAAAGCTTATGGATGATTTATTTTTATTATCTGTACCATTCCATACTTTTACTTATTTTTAATATTATTTTTTTAATCCTTACCCACGGACATGCTTAGAGAGAAGACGGAAGGGAGGGAGAGAGAGACTGATGTGAGAGAGCAACATCAATTGGTTGCCTTCTGTATGTGCCCCGAACAGGGATCGAACTTTGCAACCCAGGTATGTGCCTTGACCAGGTATCGAACATACAGCCACTCAGTACACAGGATGACGTTCAACCAACTGAGCCACTCTGGCTGGGTTACCATTCCATAATTTTAAATGTTACTGTGCCATAATACAATTTCATAATCAGAAGAGAAAACAATTAAGCATGAAATTTTTAAAATAAGGTAAGGTAGTGAATCTTAAGACAAGAAGAATTAATGGTAAAGGATTAGAACAGATTATGCTAAATGAAAAGTACATTAATCTTGAAATAGTATGTAAATTTGAAAGCAACAGATACACATATATCAGTTTATTAGAATAAGAATGGTACAGAAACAGAGAGATGATTGGCACTCATCATATTCTAACCAGAAGTTCTCAGAGAAAAAAGTCAAATATCTCTAAAAGTACCCATTATAAAACTTAATATTTTTTTCTTATAAGTCAGATCTAAGAGCACGAATTGCTTCAAAGAGCTCAAGATTCTCCAGAGTCCATCTGAGGCCTATACAAGTCATAACATAAACATGTATAAATGCAAAGTTAAATTTTTATCTCATTTTGAATATGATTTTAAAAACATAAAAACACTATTATCAATGAAACTTGCACAACTGAAATTTAACCCATTATTACTCTCTTAAATTAATAAAAACTATTTTATAATTTACCATAATAGACAATTTTCTGTGATGATTTCTCTCTCTGAAAAGAGTAATAAATGTTGGCTGATAAGCTACTCTATAACTTTCAAATAAAATATTTCACATAACCCTCTGAAAATATAATCTTCTTATAAAACTAAAAATATAATTTGTACCTGAAAATGTATTCAATGTGTCCTTACTTCCATTTGTCTCTGCTCCTACACGCCTGAACTGCTGTACAATGGCACTTAACTCAGAAGAGCGCTGTGAGATTCTGTGTTCAGCTATCCGAAGACGTTCTTTCAAAGCAAGAAATTCTCGTTGGTACGCAATCAGTTTTTCTAGAAGCAAACCCAAAAGTTATTAGTGTATTTCTTAAAAAAAATAACAAACAACATAAAACAGAACTGAAAATAAAAAGGATCCCTGATGAGTTATATAACAAAGCACCATTAAGTGTGCTCTTAGTGTCTGTCAGAATATGAGTACTTTAGAAATTCAAAGACAGGGAGAAAAAGACAAAAGTTTTTAAAATTAACACTTCAAGGATAATACTAACATCCTTTCTCAAAAGGCACAAACAACTGTAAAGATGGAAAAAGACAGGGATGAGGCACTGAAACTAATGATAATACATCTAACTAGAAGCCCAGTGCACGGATTTGTGCACTGGCAAGGTCCCTCAGCCTGGCCTGCAGGGATCAGGCCGAAACCGGCTCTCCAACATCCCCCGAGGGGTGCCGGATTGCAAGAGGGCAGTTCTCGGGTGTCGCACCCCGGAATCGGGCTCCCTCCTCTCTGGTTCCAGGTGCATAACCTGAGAACCACAGCTGCCAAGTCACCACAGCTCGGCAGCTCCTGCGTTGAGCATCTGCCCCCTGGTGGTCAGTGCACATCATAGCTACCAGTCGGACGGTCAAATGGTTGGCCAGTTGCTTGGGCTTTTATATATGTAGATGACATAATGAATATAACCACTTATATAGCATAATTATTAATTTCCAAGGTTAAATGTTTCCTCTGTACTTCATATTCTGCAAAGATTTCCCTAGGCCAGACTTCGGCCACATTCCTGATCCCTAAAAACTTAATCAGGTAAATGTAAGATGATCCTAGTTGAAACCCATTCATTTTATTTTATTTTTATTTTTTATCTCTAGCTGGCTGGCTTCGCTCTTGTCTAGTTCAATATATTATCATAATAGTCTTTTTTAAGTCGCAATCCAGGACAGCTGGCTACTAACCATTCACCTGCCTGCCTGCCTGATTGCCCCCTAACCACTCTACCTGCCTGCCTGATCGCCCCTAACTGCCTCTGCCTCGGCCCCCGCCACCATGGCTTTGTCCGGAAGGACGACCAGAATATGTCCGGTTGACCCAGTCTAATTAGCATATTTCCCTTTTATTAGTATAGATTAGTCAGCTCAGATAGTCATAACAAAACATCATAAATTTGTGTGGCTTAAACAACAGAAATGTATTTTTCTAACAGTTCTGGAGGCTGATATTTGGGGTCAGGGTACCAGCATAGCATCATCCCATACACCAGAAAGTGGTGGATCAATTGCCAGTCAAGGCACATGCCCAGGTTGCAGATTCAATACCCAGTCCAGTGAGTGCAGGAAACAACAGAAAAATGTTTCTCTCTCTCTCCCTTCTTCTGAGATCAATTAAACTGAATCATCCTATCCTATATAATAAAGAGGTAATATACAAATAGACCAGTGATGGCGAACCTATGACATGCGTGTCAGAGGTGACACGCGAACTCCTTTTTTTGGTTGATTTTTCTTTGTTAAATGGCATTTAAATATATAAAATAAATATCAAAAATATAAGTCTTTGTTTTACTATGGTTGCAAATAGCAAAAAATTTCTATATGTGACACGGCACCAGAGTTAAGTTAGGGTTTTTCAAAATGCTGACACGCCGAGCTCAAAAGGTTCGCCATCTCTGAAATAGACTATCACGCCCTCACAAGATGGTGGCGCCCACAGCAGGGGCGGGGCTGGCTGCTCTGCGCACCTGTCACCGAAGTCCCCTCAGCCCTGCCGTGGGCCTCAGGTCCTCCTGCACCCCCCCACTGACTGAGGCTCAGGCAAGCAGGGCCAGCCGAGGTACAGGCAAGCCTCAGATGGCAGCTGTCCAGCTGCCCTCAGCCGGCCCGAGGCACAGGCAAGCCTTGGATGGTGGCTGCCCAGCCGCCAAGGGCCGGCCCGAGGCTCAGGTAACCAGGGCCAGCTGAGGTTTGCGCTGCTGGCAGTGGTAGCAGCAGAGGAGAGATGGGGGTGTCGCCTCCCACCCCTGAGGGCTCCCAGACTATGAGAGGGGGCAGGCTGGGCTGAGGGACCCCCCCTCCAGTGCATGAATTTTCATGCACCGGGCCTCTAGTAAATAAATAATGTTCTCTAAGTATAGTTTTAACAGGAAAGACATTAGTGATCTATGAAGTGAAAAACTCGTTGTAACACATGTATACAGCATGACGCCATTTAAAAAAATATGTATTGATTTCAGAGGAAGGGAGAAGGATAGATACAAACATCAATGATGAGAATCATTGATCAGCTGCCTCCTGCATGCCCCTACTGAGGATCAAGCCCGAAATTTGACCAGGAATCATATCGTGACCTCCTGGTTCATAGATCAATGCTCACCCACTGAACCCCACCAGCTGGGCCCCATTTTTATCAATACCAGGCACATGAGGTACATTGGCAAGATCTCACTCCTAGATGAAAGTCTGAAATTGCCCAAACTCCTTTGCAGCGAGGTTCCTGGATATGAATTCGTTTCTGCCGATTGGATGCGCTTGCACAATATTTTGAAGGCAGAAGTGGGGCAGCGGCATCTTCCTGCAGTTTGAGCTGTTTGCTGCTGGTGATCATGTTTGCAGAGATGTGGAGGTTTTCTGCAGCGGAATCCAGGCTGTGCACAGGCAGTTGTGGCAGTGGCAGTGCCCAGTGACCTCTCTTGTGGGAGCTGGAGGGCACTTCCAGGGGCAGCAGTTTCCTGATCCCCAGGTCATAGCTATGCCAGAGTGTCCTAGAATTCAGTTGTGGCTGAGGGGGCAGCTCCTCCCACTGGGCAGGGAGTCTTTCCTGGGGGCCCAGCCTAATACCCACTCCTCCAGCTTTCCAATGATTTCCCAAGCACCAATTCCCTGTGCTAAAGTCTTTCCTGCCTAAAATAGCAAAGATCTAAAAACATTTTGGATCCTCTACTTTCAACAAAAACAATGCTGCACAGGGTCAGATCTGAAAAGTGGGTGAGGTGTTACAGAAAGCTCCCTTCTTTGAGTTTCAGCTTCCTCTCCTGTAAAACTGAGATCAAAGATTATCTGTTCATAGTTACTGAAGACCGTGGCAGCTGTGTTTCCTGAAGATGGCCACAACATTTCCTATCCTTCCTGTGGCCTTGCCACTTTCCACCACGTCCTCTCTCTTGAAGTGGGGCTGACCTCTGAATTCCAAGGCCAAGGCCGAAAAGGCACAGGGCTGCAGCCCCGCCCACCCTGCCAGGGTTTCCAAGCTCCGGCCCCGCCCACGCTGCTTGGGGCCTTGTCCTCCCGGTTAGCTTCCCCTCCGTCTGCGGGCCCAGCACCTCACTGCATATTATGGCCCACCTGCTGGTGCTGCTGTGCCCAGCGGGTAAGGTAAGAGCCCAGGCCAGGCCTCGCACCTCCTGGCTCCTGTGTGCCGCTGCCCCCTGTGCCTCACGGCCCCTATTCCTACTGCTGTTCCGACCAGGGCCAGACGCCCAGGTGCTGTGCGCGGTCCACGGGGACTGCTGTGGCCACCAGGAAAGCCTCCCCACCCCATCCCCAACTCCAGCGCTCTGATCCCAGTCCACTTCCGCCAAAGGAGAGCTTTGCCAACGCAGCTGCCCGAGACGGAAACCGAGCAACTCCAAGGTCCCTGGACCCCAAATTTCTGCCAGCCAAGGCGGTTGGCCGGCTTGCCCCGCCCTGATCGGGGTGTTGGGGGCGATCCAGCCCGGATCAGGCTGGTTTGCTGGCCGCAGTGGGTGTCATAGTGACCGGTCATTAGGTCATTATGGTCGTGACGGCGTTACGGTCTCTTGCTTTTTATATAGATAGATAGACAGTAGTGTTTGTAATGTAGTCATTAGGATTTTCTATGTACAATATCATGTCATTGTCAAACAGTGAGTTTTACTTCCTCCTTTCCAATTTCGATGTCTATCATCTTTCTTCTTGTCTGATCACTCTGTCTAGGACTTCCACTACTATGCTGAATAAGAGTGGTGAAAGCGGACATCCCTGTCTTGTTCCTATTCTTTGGAAAAATGGTTTTTGTTTTTGCCCATTGAGTATGCTATTGGCTGCAGGTTTGTCATAAATGACCTTTATTACGTTGAGGCATGATCCTTTTATTCCCACTTTGCTGAGAGTTTTTATTAAAAATGGGTGTTGGATTTTGTTGAATGCTTTTTCTGCATCAATTGATGTTATTTTTGTCTTTCAATTTATGTTATGTATCACATTTATTGATTTGCCAATATCGTACCAGTCTTGCATCCCTGGAATAAAACTCACTTGGTCATCCTGTATTATCTTTTTTATATATTGCTGGATTCAATTTGCTGATATTTTGTTGAGGGTTTTAGCATCCATGTTCATCAGGGATATTGGCCTATAATTCTCTTTCTTTGTAGTGTCTTCATCTGGTTTTGGAATTAGGAACTTGTAAAAAGAGCTTGATAGTGTTCCTTTCTCTTGGATTTTTGGGGAATAGCTTGAGGAATATATAGGCGTTAGTTATTCTTTGAATGTTTGGTGAAACTCCCTTGTGAAGTTGTCAAGACCAGGGTTTTGTTTGCTGGGAGTTTTTTTTATTATTATTACTGCTTCGATTTCCTCAGTTGTTATTGGCCTATTCAGGTGTTCTGATCTTCCTGATTGAGTTTTGGAAGATTGTATTTTTCTAGGAATTTGTCCATTTCATCCACATTGTCCAGCTTGTTGGCATATAGTTGCTCATAGTATTTTCTTACAATCCTTAGTATTTTTTTGATGTCAGTTGTTACTTCACCACTTTCATTTCTGATTTTGTTTACTTGGGTCCCCTCTCTTTGTATCTTGATGAGACTGGCTAAAGGTACATCAATCTTGTCTATCTTTTCAAAGACCAGCTTTTGGATTGAGTGATCTTTTGTATTAATCTCTATATCACTTATTTCTGCTCTAATCTTTATCATTTTCTTTCTTCTACTTATTCTGGGCTTTCCTTATTATTCTCTTTCTAATTCTTTAAGTTGTAGAATTAAAGTTTATTATTAATTATTATTAATTTTTCTTGTTTTTTTGAAATAGGCCTG